TTGTCCACAACCACAGGACAGTCAGTTTACCGTCACATAGGAGTAAAGACACAGAACATATTCAGATTTACAACGATGGAAACAGAATTTAGACTGTTTTTATCTTTTCTTTAAAAAAAAGTTACTCAAACCAAATAACTGATTAACAAAGCAGCTGGTAATTAATCTAAAAGTCGTTTCAGTTTTACCTGCAGGTTAACGTTTCCTTTGGGAGACGCTGATATTCTGTCGTCTTTATTTTCCAATAGCGATGATTACTGGGTATGTGAAGGTTCATCTAATAAAACATGATGTGCTGAAATATATGTAAATAAAACACACACAGCAGAATAACTGAAGTCACTGAAATGAGCTGTGCTTCTATCACTGACACCATTAAGATTCTGCTGAACCCACTGAGTAATAAACGTACGATACCGAACCACACAAACATGTTTTCGGTGATGAGATGTTTGTACTTGAGTAAACTGTGAATTCTGGGCTGTTTAACCGGGTTGGACCAAACCGTGGCACTGCTGCTTCTACTGAACTAAATCCAGCTTCATTAATTAAGTGGAAAAGTCTAATGATCAAAGATATGTTGATGGACTGTTGGTCTCCGTCACCAGATGCTCTAACCCAGAGAGCCCTCTAGTGCTCAGACGCCCACACAGAAGGCTGCACGGTGAGGACACCTCCACAACTTTGGTAGATGTGGTCCTGGACCACCAGAGAAACAACAGAACCACCCCTCCTCCCCCTATAGGAGGACTCTGCACAAAGCAGGCTGAAGATGCAGCGCTGAGTGTTGATGTGAGTTCAGCTACAGCTGTTGTGGTGTTTGTTACTATGGTAACAGCATCAATATCCGGCAGAGGGGAAAAACACCAACGTCAACTCAAGTCTTCTTGTTTTTTAAAAATGTTTCTTTAACGAGTTTCTTCGCCCACTAATTGTGAAGATGTTTTTAAAGCAGGTGTTTTATTATAAATCGACCGTCTGACGCTGTTGCTATGGTTACCAACAACAGCAGCAAAGGCAGTGTTTGTTTACTGATTTAAAAGATTAAAAAAACAAAACAATGGAGACAATAAACAAATGGTACGTGGTTTCTTTAGTCAATCAGATCAAACTTGTCTTGTGTTGTAGCTCCTCACTGACTTTTTGTTTCCACTTTATTTTATATTTTTGTACAGATTTGCGTTGTAGTCACTGTGCTTCATGGTTTGGTATATTAGCTATGAAACACTTGGTTTTAAATCTGCTTTATAAATGAATTTGGCTTTGACTTTGAAAGGAGCCCAAACAGTCATCATTTTGTACTTTTAATTGAGCAAAATCTTGAAAGCTGCTCTTTTATTTGTAAAAGCTGATTTTCAGTGAGATGAGAGCAGGGCTGTGCTGTCTGGCTGTACGAACAACCACGTCGGTGCTTCCTGCTGCTGCTTTAACTACATCATGAGCTGATGTCTGTAAAATCCACCACAGCTGTCAGAGTAATGCAAAAACACAACCTGACATTAAAGCTGCACCTCAGAGTTCAGCTTTAAAACTGTACTGGTGCTGAGTTACTGTCCACACGCCGCTCGGTGTCTCACTGGAGAATTTACCAACCATCTACATATGAAAACGGTGCTTTCAAGCTATAAATACTGTTTGCTCCCTGACCCTGAACCACTGGGCGACGGCCACCGATGATGGAAAAAATAGAAGGAGATGAGGGGCGGTGAAATACCTGGAATTCAGAGGAGGGAAAGGGAGAGGCAGGAATAGATAAGGCACGGTGGTGTATCACTGAGCCGCTTTATTTATACCTACACGACGAGAGCTCATGTCAGCGGTGATGCATTTCTCTGCTGAGGGAGACGGGATGCAGCTTGACCTCCTCTGGTTAAACATTTAAATACCCTTGAGATGAATAATACAACAACACAGAAGGAATAATAAGCCAACAGTCTGCTGCTAAGCAGAGAGACGACGACAACAAAAACACACCGTCACCACTATTATTGGCTCGTGTTCGTCTAAACTCCTCAGAAAACAGAACATCTGGGGCATCGAGCGAGCGGTCTATACAAACTGACATGACTGAAATACAGAACAGGATTCAGGATTTACCTGCCAGTCGAGCCGTTTCATCAAATCAATGCAAAGATCACACAAACATCCAATCTGATTATTAAAAACCTCTTCTGGACGCTGCTGCTTCAGCCTCTACACTCTGTATTCAAAGTCCACAACTTTCCTGTTAAATCCAGTTAAAATCAAAAGAGAACTTTGAAGAGTTTGAAAGTGAAAATAAAGGAACTCTAAGAGGACGACCATTCACTTCGTTGGATCCTCGTTAAACGCAGTTATCTGACGTGAACATGGAGACCTTCTAGCTGTGAGGCCACGGTGCTAACCACGGTGCTAACCACTGATCCACCGTGCAGCTCAATGGAAATATCAATAAATTTAACAAAAGCACACGGAGCCAGATGAAGGTGCTTCTATGAAACGCTGACTTTCCTTTTATTCTTTCACAGTCTTGTTTCGGCCCCACTGGCCCGGATTTTACTGCTTCACAGCTTTTTGAAAAGAATGTTTGCAGTGTAGCAGAAAACACAAATCCTACCTTAATCTGGTGAAAGCTAGTGACAGGGAAGAGAGGGAACTACTTTAGCTTCTCTCATAAATAAACCGACACCTGACCTCACGTCAAACTGTGAACTACACGGTGGACGTCTCCATCAGACAGTTCAGAAAGATGGATGTAGAGATCATCGTTTATGGGATGTTAAACCGGAAACATAAAGGGAACATCACACTCAGATCCACACCAGAATAAACCCAACACATAAACAAGACACGGGCTTCTCTTTGAAAGAGACGAAACATCAAAGCTGCCTGAATTATGATCCGTCCCTCACATGCAGTTTGTCTTCTCAGAGACACCACTCAGTGATGGACGGTACCTACAGGCTGAGTGTCCAAGTACAGGAGGACACAAGAAGACCAGCAGAGAGTCTGAGGTCCAAACAGAGAGAAGCCTCCTGATTACAAACTCACAAAGGAGAGTAAAGGAGACCTGTCCACGAGGTGAACACGAGCATCAGGAAGGCAGCACGCTGAGCGTTAGCTCGTCTCTGTTTGACATTACAGCCATGTCTTACATCAAAATGTAATAAGTGTTAAAAGTTATCGCATCTTGTGGAACTCTGTGTTCTTGTTGAGTTCCTGTGAAGAACATCTGTGGTGTTCAGTAACAGACAGTGACCCTGACACACAGTCTGCTGTTTTACATCTGCTTCAGTCTCTCAGAGGAAACCCTGCATCTCTCCAGGATGCACTGCTGATCACTCACAGTGCACCCGTCTCTCATGTTAAATGTCCTCATACGATTATTCAGTTCTACTGTTCTTGTGAATCCTCACGTTGCAGACAAAGTGTCTTCAGGCTCCACCAGACAAGCAGCCCTCAGTCAGCGCTTGCTGGCATCTCATAAACAGGAACCATTCAGTGGAGGCGTCTCACCGTTTGTTTTCCAGGGAACTCACTCACACCACAGCTCCACTCAAAGCCTAGAAAGAGCATCTCTGAAGAGCACGCCTGCTTCTCAGAGCAGATGATCCAGAAGCAGATTCACAGAGAATGTGGCATCTGTGGAGAACCACCTCAGACAGCGTCCTCTGGCTATGTATCCTCATTATAAGGAGCACATGACCCCTGAGGTGAGCTGCTCTTCACCGGAGCGCCGCCTGTATTCCACTTTCAGAGTAGGCAGATAAATAAACGAGGCCTGCATAAGGCGCTCAGTACTGTGTTAACACATATTTACATGGCCTCCTCTTTTCCCTGCAGTTATTTGATCAGGTGGGATCCGCTTTGGACCCAGATATGTGCACAAACAGCGCCTCTGCACTTCCTGCGCCTACAGGAGATCATGCAGAGGAGGAAGATGAGGAGGACTGTTGAGAGCCAAGTGAGGAAGAAATGGACAGGCCCAAAGGAAGAAACATCGGAAAATAAAATGCAAGTACACTGACGACTCCATTGGTACCATTACTGTAGTGTGAATTACTACCATCCTCCAGCTAGAAAGACTTCATTTAACACTTCTCTGGGTTCTACAACAGCACTGATGCACAAAATCAAAGTTCCAGAACCTCCTGTGTACTACAAATGCATGGACATGACATAAAGAAAGGTCGGGCAGTCGCAGTGGATCCACTGAGCACACATGAAGATGTGCAAATAGCTGCCAGACTGTTCAGAAAATCCTTCACCTCTCCAGGAAGACCAGGACTACTCATGGACCTCAGCTCCTGAAATCACAGATATCTGCTGATTAGAACAACCTCAAGGCAGCAGCCACATATGAATCAATTCAAGGCCCAGGTGGCGTGTTCAGGTGGACGTACAAATCCACACACGAGACAAGAAGAGGACTTCTACCCACCACAAGAGGAGTCCTTTTCCCCTCATGTGTGTTCACGCAGCAGGTTTGACAAGAAGCCGAGGAGGTGACACGGATAGACGGCCGATAGCGGGCGGCTACGAGTAAAAGGAACAAGTACGCAGACTTAAAGACACCTGTCTGTGGGTTCACATCTGGATACAGGAAGTGAGCTTCAAAACTGAGCAGCAACAAGAGGAGAAAACAAGAAGTCTTGTTTCTCACAGTCGTTTCTAAATGGTCTCGTTTCAAAAGAGGAACAAAAACTGCAGGAGGTAAAGGCGTGTGTGTGTGTCTGAGTGCATGAAGGAAGCAGAAATCATTAATTACGTTTGTAAGCAGAGGTTTTGCATTGTTTGAAGAGTGTCTAAACTTAGCCTGAGCTAGCAGCGAGCAGCAGGCGCCACATCAGCGCTAACAGTTGGTTCCCGTTTATTCTGCTGCCATCCTGCTTGTTGTCCCGTCAGAACCACAGCCAGCCTCATAAGCAACACAAGCTCAAGGTTTCCATGACAACATACAGAATATATCGTTTAAGACAATAACATTAAAGAGCATTAAATAAATAATCAAACGCTTCATGTTTTTTTAATAGTTTCTTTTTAATTTAAACAATAAATTCTGAAAACACACCTGACTGTGCATTTTTCTAAAACCGTCTTTTATCACCAAAGTTCTTCCAGTGACCCGTCGACAAGCGAGCTTTCTGTAAGACAAAATAAATGAAATAATGAAACAGGCTCTCAGGTATTGTTTTAGGATTTACAGACGTAAAGTCAGATCTCTGTGAGCTGCAGAAGAAGCTTCAGTTTTCTCACTACGTTCACCAGCACCAGACAATCAGCCTAACGAGGTCCACCTGACATCGATCATCTTTAAATACTGGACGTTTGTGAGGATGTTATTCAGCTGGTTCAGTCTGAGATTGTTGTCTCAGCCACTGAAGTGAAGAGAACTCAGGAGTGACGGAGTACGTATAAGAAAACAGTTCTTGTGTTCCTTACTTTGATCTCCACCTGTCCATTAACACCCACCGTGTGAACACGAGCATCAGGAAGGCAGCACGCTGAGCGTTAGCTCGTCTCTGTTTGACATTACAGCCATGTCTTACATCAAAATGTAATAAGTGTTAAAAGTTATCGCATCTTGTGGAACTCTGTGTTCTTGTTGAGTTCCTGTGAAGAACATCTGTGGTGTTCAGTAACAGACAGTGACCCTGACACACAGTCTGCTGTTTTACATCTGCTTCAGTCTCTCAGAGGAAACCCTGCATCTCTCCAGGATGCACTGTTGATCACTCACAGTGCACCCATCTCTCATGTTAAATGTCCTCATACGATTATTCAGTTCTACTGTTCTTGTGAATCCTCAGGTTGCAGACAAAGCGTCTTCAGGCTCCACCAGACAAGCAGCCCTCAGTCAGCGCTTGCTGGCATCTCAGCCGCTGAAGTGAAGAGAACTCAGGAATGACTCGGTATGGCTCTCGTTAGCTAATTAAGATGTTAGATGTGTTATTTCTTCGGTGTTTTTCTACCACAAAGTTATGCAAATGTTTTCTTGCATAATCCAGTGCTGTGTTCATATATATATATATATATCTACCACATGTCGTACGCTGTGTTTGTAGCGATGTGATAAACCGTATTTTGTCTACTGCTGATATTAACAGCTTACCGATACGAGGAACCAGCCTCGGGACCGCTGTGTCGGGTCACATCCCTGTTAGCTGGTCGGGTCAGAGGTCAGCAGAGAGTAGACGGGCGACCTGCGGCCCAGTGCGAGCAGCTGCAGGGAGGACGTGTACCTTGTTGCTGCTGCTGGATTCGATACGACGTGACCTAGAAAAGTCAGCGTGTCTGTTACAGGTCTGAATACTGAGCACAACCGATTGTGTTCATTTCTATCTGATCTTGTAGGACTCTCTGTCAGTTAGGTCCTGACTAGCTGATGGTCCCATAAGATGTCTGAAGATAGTGGCAATGCTGGTTTTTAAGATAAACAGAAAACAGCAGGATGCTCACTTCTGAGAAGGTAAAACTAGAGAATTATTGCTGGTTTTGCTTATAAAAAAATAAAACATTAATATAATAATTATTGCAGGTTGAGTCTTTTGTTGTGCTGCAGGATGACTGCTGGTTGAGTAACAACACGTTGAAATGGACACGCTTCATTGGCTCCAAGTGACCGGTTATAAAACTCACTTTCGCTGAAGCAGTTGTTGACTGTCTTCCCGTTCGGCTCAGCTGTCTTCAGGAAACGTGGCTCGCTGTACACAGTGTGTTCACAGACAAACATTACATCACTTCACACAGCCTGCAGCACTTTGCGGGGCCTTGCATGTTGCATGAGGGGTGAGAGGTCACGTGGGTCAGCAGTCTGACCATCTCACCGTCTCCAGGGGAGACACGCTCAAAGCTATAACAAATAATAGCAGTAGTTAGTCTCTGCGTACCTGCTGCAGGTCTTTCTTCTTAATCGGGACTCAGCTTTTACATCTTCCACACCGTCAGACCCGCTTTAGGAAACATTAAAACATGAAGTGAGGCCTTCTACAAGAGCATGTCACAATGCATGAAACCAGAGCAGAAAATTAAAGAGTTTTTTAACGAACACCACGATTTCTTCTTCTTATTGTGTATTACAGTGCGAGCTTTGAGACCCAGTGTGGTCAGTGAAAGCACTCGTGTATGGATGCCCCCTCCTCCTCTGTTCCTGTGACTTCTTGCTCACTTAATAGCATCACATGATTTTAAGATGTGACCTGAGCTAGCCCAAGAACGTAGCTAATCCTTGTAGTGTGTGGGAACGTAGCCAGACGTACAATGTGGCTCTGTGCACTCTCTCCGGTGCAGACCTCCTCCTGTGGAAGCTGCCGCCAGCAGCGCTGGTATCGGTGTGTGGTCTGTGGTTCTCTGAAATCGCTCCTCTCAGGCCTTTGACGAGAGATCTGAGCTCGCAGGCGGGGCTCTCCTGCCGATCCTTTGGCTTCAGCAGCCAAAGGAAGAGAGAGGAAAGACATGTAAACTCAGTGCAGCAGGGAGACTAAAACATTTGCTGTGATTTGTTCCAATTTGAACAGTGAAACCACGACACAATGCCACAAAATCTATTTCTGCGGGTATCAACAACAACATTTGTTTTTATCAGTCAGTTGTGTTGAAATCATTTACAGTCTGTTTCCCTTCTTGCCACAAGAATGCAGTCCGGTGTGTGTTTCTGATTTAAAGGCCGAGCAGATGTGCTGAGCTTGTGCCTGTGCAGCCAAATAAAAATGATTCACACGTGCACTGGATGGGCGGGAACCAAAGGGGATGGGCAGAGGTCCTGGCTGTACCTTGATCTGGGTGTTGGAGGCGTGCTGGGAGGAGGCTGGAGCGGTGTGTGCTGATGGGGTTGGCGAGTTCAGATCAGGAGATACATTCAGAGCTGTGTGCAAATTTTGACCTTGGAGCTCCTACAGAACATATAAAAGTGGTTCTGTCTCATGATCTGTTGAAGAACACTTTAGAATGACAGTCGCTGCCCAGAAGCTTAACACGAGACATACAACCTGCATGTACATGCATTTCAGATACACAAAACAGGTAAACCGTTGTCCCTCTTGCAGGAATTCTCTGTCCTACTTGTATGCAGACGGCTCTACCTTCAAATCCAGAGCATGTTGGAGTTTCAGACGGAAAAATTCCTGCTCCTGCAGCTGGATGAAATCCTGACAGTTTGCAAAGCTCTCCGACATCTGCAGGAAGATACAAGAGACACAAACAGAGACAGAGCAGGACTGATAAGGTTCCTTCTTTACTGGAATATATACACATTGTTCAAGAGGGGGATCAAAATAGTGACACAACACTTAGGAAACAACATGAAAACTTTTCCAGGGCATGTTATTCCATGACTAGCATGCATACAGTCGAGACAGTAGCTGAGGGGAGAGACAGAAGGACTGGCATGAAGTTCAGCAGACATCAGCACCTGAACACCTCGGCCGCCCTGGATTCATCATCACACACTTTGGAAACATATTTTAGAACAAAATCTTATTCTTTAAAGTATGTACGATAAAAACTGCTCTGCACTTGATAAACGGTTTCCTTCTGTCCTCCTCTGTGACTGTACGGCAGCACTCGGTGGTGGGGTGACTACCTTGTGGAGGATCGCCTCCAGCTCACCAATTTGGCCCCTGAGGTGTTGATCTTTGGAGCGAAGGGCCTCCAGCTCATTAGCAAGTTGTTTCTTCTCCTCCTTGACGAGGGTCAGCTCCTGGAGCTGACGCTGACTCTCCAGGTTCTGGTGATGCTTCTCCTGGACATGGAGAAGGAACACATGAAGTAAATAGCGGTGATGGTTGAAATGCATGTGCACAACTAAAACATCCAAGCAATGAAATATGATAAAAAGTGTTTATTTCTCATTTCTACGCTACTTTAGAAGCACTGGAACTGAAAATCTGAGCCTGATGTACCACGTGGAGACATTATGATGTCCATGAGATGAACGGCTCCTTGTCAAAAGCTCCCTGCTGTTCATAAGAACTCTGTCGTGTAAAGAAGTTTTTACCCGGTGCAGCTTCTCCATGCTCTCCTCCAGATGCTGGATTCTGGCCTGCATCGAGTCGACCTGCTCTCTCCGGGCAGTGACCTCCTTCTGCATGTCCAAGGCTACCTGGAGACCTGAGACCAAGCCCATCACAGCACAGAAGGAAGGCGAGGAGGTGATCAAGCGAGAAAGAACATCATGTACATAACATATCAGGAGCAGAAATCTCAGAGCTGTAATTCTGGACAGGCTTTGTACAAATCATGACATCAAAGCCATGAGTTACGATCAGTCACGTCAGATTACATCTCTCAGATGGAATGAAGCAGAGGAGGATGAAAAACAACAACTCCACTGAACTTCACTGATAAATCTTTGTTCTCAGGACCGCAATTCATCGTCTGCGTTCCTGGATTTCATTTAGATGAGAGTAATTCACTGTTATCTGTACACTTGATCACATAATGGGTACAAATCACAGGGATTCTCAGAGCTTTCTTTGTTCTTAAGAACTTTAAATCAAGTCTCAGTCTAAATAATAATGTGGATCAAACCATGTCCATCAGCTCCGGCCAGGGTCCTCAGGTTGCTCCTGATCTGGTCCAGCTCATCATGAGCCTCTCTGAGCTGAGTCTTCAGCTGCAGGACCACACCCTCGTGCTCCTCGTTCTTACAGCGGTGGAGCCGTTGCAGCTCCTTGTGCTCCTCTGAAATCGTGCCCACACAAACACACGCGTTACAAGCACAGAAAGAAACACAGGCTGACACACAAGCAAACACATGCATCAGCAGATGGGCTTGGTTGACAGTGAAAACATACCAAACATGGTTCTTTGCTGTTTTAACACAGCAGGACAAGAAGATCATTTGATTTGACAAAAAAAAAAAAAAGAAACCACAAGAGCTGAAGTCTTTCTAGAAACAGAGCTATTGTTCCTGGTGAAAGGAGGCCTGACTGGTTTCCTGGTATGATGTGTCAGAAGTCCTTAACCCATAATACAGGGACAATTTGCACAGTAAGAACACGACATCATGTGTGAGTTTATGCATTTCTACGTATTTCTGAGGAGGCTGTCTCGAACTAGCAGAGGATCAGCCGTGAGGAAAGTGCAGGTGAAACTGCGACGGGGGAACAATATCTATCCGATTACTACAGAAGTGACTCAAAACTAAACAAACACGGACGCTTCACATGAGCCAGGCCACTGCTCGAGGTCACTAAACACACATCTAATGACTGCAGTGCTGTTACAACTCTTCATCCTACGATATTTTTCAGATGAATATAAGCCGGTAACACTCATTCTTCCCGTCTCCTGTAGGATGCAGGCGTGATGAAGTCAGCCCACTCTGTGCACGTTAAACTCACCAGTAAGGCCGAGTAACTGCATACGTTGCAGCTCCATCTGATTGGTGAGCTGCCGTTTCTCCAGAGTCTGTTCTCGGACACGCTGACTCTGCTCAGCCTCAGAGGCCTGCAGTCGTCGCTTCTCGTGCTCCACAGCCGCCTGCTTGGACTGGTGCTGGTCTAACTCAGCCTGTTTCAAAAGGCAAACGAGAGCGAAGCTAGCAGTGGTGTAGAAAAGTACAAATCAATGAGGAGTGAAAAAGGATGTGTCATCCTAATTATTGCTCCTGACCCTGAGCTGCTGAATCTCCAGCTTGTGCTGGTTTAGCTGGTTGCTGAGGAGGCTGTTCTCCTGCTGAACGCTGTCCACGGTGTGCCTGTGCTGCACTGTCATCTGGATGCTGCTCTCCATCTGCAGCCTCAGAGCATCTATCATCTTCTCTCTGTCATCCAGCTTCAGCCTCAGTGTGTCCTGTTCGGCCTGCAGGGTCCGACACCGGCTCTGAGCCTCTGCTAACCTGGCAAGATGCTGAGAAAAGTCTGTTTAGTCTGAATCCAACATTAACAGATTATGTTTTATACATCAGCTAAATGGTATGTTTAAAAAAAAAAAGCTTGACTTGTAAAAAAGATTCCCCGAGAAAAGTAGCATGGCACACACACTGTCTCTGCTTTACTACCTGCTGAGTTTCTCTTTGGCTGAACAGGAGTTCCTGGGATTTCCTCCCCTCCTGGGCCTCCAGGCAGGTCTTCTCCTCCCCAGCTTTGTGAAGCTGCTCCCTGGCCACCTCCAGCTGTCCTCTCAGGACCTTCACCTCCTCCAGGACCTCACACTGCTGCTGCTCACAGTACCTCTGGATAAAGCAGGCGGCACAGTGGGCTCATTGTATTTAAATGGGTAAAAAACAATAATCCTTTGGCAGCGTGATAAAATATCATGTCAGTGCTGCTGGTGTCAGATTCCATCTTGTGTTATTCTTGGATTGTTGACTGAACAAGCATGTTCTGCATTTCGCCCTCTGAACCCCAACACCGACCGGCAGCTTTCAAAGGTATATTATCTTTTAAAATGTGATCAAATTACATCATTCATTAGAGTTAGAAACTGTAAAAACAGGACAAATTGTTGGATCTTCACCTTTCAGACAATCCTTGAGCTAATCGTGTGTCCTGAGCAGCGCTACTGAAGAAATGAACCAAATCTAAGCTTAAAGTCATGACGCTTCATCACACTCACTTTACTTTAGGCGTCTTTCAAAAAAAATGCCAAAAAGAAAACCTTTGCACTAAACATCCATCCATCATCTCTACACCTTCATCCTCACCAGGGTCATGGGGGGCGGAGCCTATCCCAGCTGACTCAGGGTGAAGGCAGGTTCACCTGGACAGGTAACCAGTCTATCACAGGGCTACACTTAGAGACAGACAACCAAGCACACTCACATTCACACCTACGGACAATTTACAATCACCAATTAACCTCAGCATGTTTCTGGACTGTGGGAGGAAGCCGGAGAACCCGGAGAGAACCCACGCTGCACGGGGAGAACATGGAGACTCCACGCAGGAAGATCCCGGGTGTCCTCACCGGGACGCCAACCGGCGACCTTCTAGCTGTGAGGCCACGGTGCTAACCACTGACACACCTGCAGCCCTTTGCACTAACTAGATTCTGTAAAAATCCAAAACATCCTGTTTCACTCAGTCCAACTGAGAAGCCACAGCTTCAACCAACATGGCAGGAATCAGGGATGATTCAGCTGAAGGTCGTGTTGACACAGCAGACAGGACAAGCACAGACACAAGTTAGTGAGACTGAGAGGAAAACAAAACACGCTTCATCAATCAGAAAATAAATGCAGCACGGCCCAAAAACCGTCGACAGAGGAGCAAGTGGCTAGCAAGCCGTTGGAAGATAAACTCAGCACGGGACATGTTGATGTTCATAGCAGTGTCAGACACGCCTCGTTCAGAGGATGCAGTGAAACATCTGTAGTGTGAGATGGAAACAAATGATGGCACTGAGAAATGTTGTATATTAATTACAGGCTTCTACATTTTTTGTAAAACAAATATTTAGAGAAATTCATCTTTTGTATTTCTTTCATTTTTATGATTTACGGCGTTATAACTGAGTCATGCTGCACAAAGGACTGCTGAGTTCACTCCACTTCTAACCGTGGTGGTGTTGTTTCCACAGACTTTATATTGAATTAAAAATGAGTCCACAGTGAGTGGAAACGTAACAGAACCAGTAAACACCCAGGAGCTGGTGCAGGTTTAGAAGGTTAAGCAAACCATCTTCACAGCGCCGGGTTCTACCACGAGGATGGAAACAGAGTCGGAAGTCAACAACATGAACCATTTAACATCTACAGTGAGTAAGTGACCGACAGGTACTGACAACTATAACTAACTAACTGAACTGGACCACTACTGGTGCATCAATCTGGGCAGCAACAGAAAGTGCAATGTGCCGCCACTGTTGCCTAATCTCTGTACAGATTGCGCTAGCTTGCACATATTGCCTCACAGACAGGACAAAACCTGCCACTAAACACAAGCCTTATACTGGTGGCGTCACAGGGAAACCCAAGGACCAGTGTGCTCTGCTGAGGGATGAAACTTCACCGAACAGGCGACTGTCGTTCATTCTTCTTAGAACGAGTCAGAAAATCCGTACCCACAGATGCAGATTCCCCGCTGAATGTATATCAGGTGTTATCAGCACCGTCTGCACAACAAAACCATCCCCTCACAAGAGCCTCCATCTGATTCTGACAATCCTCTTTGACCGCTGCACCCGTCGTCACTTAAGCTGCTTCACCAGCAGATTATTCAGGTTCCATCGTGTGGAGTCAGCCAGTGCTCTTTTATTACACTGAACCCACAGCCTACAAGCAGACTTTGGGGATCATAGCACCGGACAGAAACAACACTGGCTACATGTCAGTGGTTTGCTGCAGCACCTGGAGCTGGTCGAGCTGTTTCTGAAGCTCCTGGTGTCGGTCCTTCTCTCTCTGGACGTTAAACAGCTGAGCCTCAGTGAGCTGCTGCTCCAGACAGCAAACCTACAACACATGACATCACAAACCAAATAAAACTTCAACAACTCGGCACACGAGGCTTGTTCTGGGCAAGACATTATTTTTTGTGTAAGTGTTGGAGCTCAACACCACTGTGGTTCTGTTCAGTTAACATGGTGACTGGTACGCTTGATTCATCTGCAAGAAGCTTTCGTGATGCTCACATTTACATCTACAGGAGTGGAAACACACGGCTGGTTACTGGTAACGCTCAGCAGGCATCATCGTACATCCACCTTTACCTTCTGTTTGTGGTGGGAGAGGGCTGACTCCAGCTCACTGATCTGGCGTCGCTGCAGCGATGTTTGTCTCTCTGCAAGTTTTCTGGGCAAAGTTGTCGTAGACAGTTAAACAGTGTTTGCTGTATTTACAGTAACGTGGAAATCAACAGGCTGTGATCACTGCAGTCAACGGATTTACAACCAAAAGGACTGGTGATAAAAACTCACCTCAGCAGCTCCACCTTGATGCTCAAGCTGACGCCGCTGTGTCTGGATGAGCTCAGCTTCTCAGTCAACACTGCCACCTCCTGGCCGAGGCTTGTGATCAGGGCCTCCACTCTGAAATCACAGGAATGCAGAGTGCCTAATAACGCTGCTATGGCATCTGTTTGGATACGCAGTGGAGAGTGGCAGGAAGCATCCAAGAGTGAGAGAATGAAATAACACAAAAAGGAACTAATGTCAGTGTTAGTGGGGATTCTGGCAGGAAGGCGACTTTATGTTGAGCATGATGTCCTACTAAGAGATAACTGAACTGATTGTGACTGGCCTTCCCAGTAAAAACATAAATAAAACTACCTGTGACTTGGAGAAGGAAGGTGTTTGTGACTGATGGTTAACAGCTGCAGCGTTATTTAATTTCTTATTGAAGCAACAAAGCGAAGCAGGACTTACTCCAGAAGTGGAACAAATCAGAGTGTAGTCTATCATTTCATCACCTTTTCAACCTTACATGTCAGGCAGCGCCCTACCGGAGCTTTACTACAACGTTTGTGACCACCTGGGTAAGACTAGGAGACAGTTATGTTTTCATCAGATGGACTTTATTAACTTTAATGTACTTCAAGTGTTTAGTATCGAGGCACATCACATCAGGACTTGACAGATACTAAAAATTATTCAGATTGGCTCGGGGGCAAAAAAAACTTAATCAGGACATCCCTAAAAAGAACAATTATAAAAACACTGACAGTGAGTCACACCTTTTCTTAACTTGACATCCAAACATTAAACTGGTTCTACCTTTCTTGCGTATTTAATCCAGTGTGTTCTTCAACCTCCAGCTGATCTTCTGACTGATAGGAAACAGGTAAAAAAAAACCATCAGAGTCTTAATTGTAGGAGGAGAGAGCCTAAATTACACCGAACATGACTTTTATTACTCACCAACCACCGTGTCTCCAGCGGCTCGTTTGTCTCATCGCTGAGATCCTCGTTTACCTCAGCACTTAGAGATCGCTGCTTTGGGCTATTTGCACTTTCAGAATTGATGCCAGAGTTGTGCTCACAAGGTTTCTCATACAGTGGATTGTACATCTCCTTTACAGCCTGTTCCAGCGTTTCTATTTTCCTGTTAAGCGCCAACGCCTCGTCCTCCGTCTCCTGCGGCTTCTGGTCACCAGATCTTTTGATGCTCTGACGCTCTTCCAACATGCACAGCATCTTTTCCATCTGATCGACGTGTTTCCTCGAATCCTGCAGTCTACAAATATGAAAAATCTGTGGGTCAAAGTGATTTTAAGCACTTTCTTTACAGGAATAAAACCGTCTCCGTGTGTTCACCTCAGGTCAGACAATGCGTTCTTCTCCATCTGGACTTCACGCAGCTCAGTCTGCAGGTTCACGATCGATTCCTCAGGACTGACGGTGTCTTGTTCAGGTTGATTATGTGTCTGTGTTTGAGAAGGTGAAATGATGTATAGAGAAAGAAATGTACCACTTCAGCACAGACACTGACGTGTGCATATCACACCACAGAAAGTCGACTAACTGTGATGACGAGGCTAACTGGTTATCATCTCGGCTGTAAGTGTGCATCCCTGCTCGACTGAGTGGAAACACATCGGATACAGAAAGCACCGTGTTGACCAGAACCATAGAACATTTAAATAAGCACCGCAAAGCTCTATATGACGAAGGCAAAGCAAAAACTCTTCAGAGACCTCTGACAATGCTACACCATATGAGAAAACTTCCAAACTCTTGACACGCAAAAAGTAGCACAGAGTACCCAAAAAAAGGGTAGTAAAAGTAAATGTTATTCAGGTCATCTGGTGAACATTTCTGCTTTTGTTTTTTTTCATATTGCAGAATATGTGGTGCAGAAACACAAAATACCACGTCAGTGTTGTGCAGCCCGACTCATCAGTCACTCAGGCAGGTTCAAAATAATACTTCAGAATATTTACAGTTTAAATAAACGTATGCACCTTGTTGAGCTGCAAGCCAGACAGCTGATGTAGACAGTCATCTACTGCTCTTTCTAACACTTCCTTTCCATCAGAGCTGATGTCCTTTCGGGTCACCTTCTGGTTTAGACCTTGCAGACCATCCAGAGTTGCTGCTTGCTGGTGGGTTGACACAAGACGGGAATCTCCAGTTGAATTATCTGCTAAAAGAAAGTTTAAAATGCACACTCATCAACGGGTTGGTGAGAGTCGGCTGAGCTGAGTAAGCTGATCTTAAATTATTCTAAGTTTCCCCTCGATGTCTGTTGGAGAAATCGGTTCACTTCTGTAGTTGTTTCATCCTTTTGTGGTGCAGTGACTGAGACAGAACTGTGAGGAGTTTTAGAGCTTTTGGTTTTTAAGCCACTGTATTGTACTCTGGGGATCATAAAGTAAAATACACAGACCACTACAGACTCATTATGACTACATGTGTGCCTACGGTGGGTGACACTGTTAGTACTCACAGATATTAAACTTTTGATTTAGGCAGTTGAGTCCAGATGAGGCGATGATGCCATTTGTGCAGCCAAACCTCTCCAAGGCCATCCTGGTTGCATTTTCCACCTCTTCTTGGAGTCTTTGGGTTTCTTTAGTGCGTCTGTCGAGCTCCTCGCTGTCAAATCCCAGAAGGTTAAATAGGATATCATAGTTCAGATACCACTGTGTTAGTATTTACTTTATGTCTGTACTACTATCATGTTGGGACCAAGAATAACATGTTTAAGCTCTCAGTAGATCCATACATACTTAGCATGTGTATATTTGGACAAAGCAGCTACTAGTCGTTCAACTAAGCTAACAAGCGAGGAAACGGGCGTCATTTTACGGCTTCATGACAGGAAACTTTACCTCAGCTCATCCAGAGTCAGACTGTTGAACGTCAGCCGAAAACAGCTGCTGTGGGTTTCTGTAAAACAAGTAGAAACCTTTCCAGTTAACAACAAACCGCTCAGAAAACTAGCTAAACAGCGTTAGTTAGCTTACCGGCTGCTGCGTCTTCTGCCAGTTGTGTGTCTTTCGCTGGAGAAACGGAAACTTCAGCTCCTTTCTGGAAGGAAAACCCGCCAGTTTGTGGCTCAGAAGGGCGGAACTCGGACCACATTTCTCTTCACGTCCGTAACAAACCCACAGATGTGACTATTTACAAAGAAGAACGAGCTAACGACAGCTAGCAGGTTGTTGCTAAAGTTTGATCACCATGGAGACAGCATCCGACGCTAACGCGGCTAACTCCCGGCTAACGTGTGAACCGTCAACAGGTCAGGACACGGAAGTCTGCGTCACATCCGGCAGTTAAGGGGAAAGTTAAGGGAACCCTGACTTAAGGACCATGTTGTACAACATTATGTGAACTAAATGAGTTCTTTCAGTGATTTTCTCGCACAAATGTTTTTCAAAGTAAATATTAACAAAGGCATACAGTACAGAAACAGAACATTTTATTTAAATATATAAACATGTGCATATGGGCTGTTATGGAAACGGATGAAACTAGGAACATGTGCAAACAGTGAAATTACAAATACAGTTCTGCTTTCAATAAACCTATTTTATAAAAGTTCATCCTTAAAAAAAACGTGAACATTTGGCACACTTTCCAGTACAACATGAAAATATTCTCTGTCAAAAGTGTATAGACCCTATAGCATATGAAATAAACAGCCTAAACACCATTTCTTTGTCATGTTTGAGAAGCTGAACTGGATTCACGCCCTGGCTTTTCTTTTGACGTAGCGTCTGATGAAAGCCTTCTCGTCCCATTCGCTGGGGGAAAGCATGTGGGGGCCGTTGTGGACGCAGAGAACCGTCATCTCGTCGGCGTACTGAAGGTTTTGCAGCAGCTGAGGACAAACACAGCAGGACAGGAGGGTCAGGAAAGCACATGCTCGTTTACACAAACTTACCAGCAGCAAACACGTACTGCAAAGTATGACTCTTCAGGCAGTACGCGTATATTTGGGACATGCTACCTTGTCATGATATTGTGACTTAAATTTGAACCGTCACAGTCTGTTTAGCGAGATGAGCAACTTAAGCTGGCAGAGGATTGTGGGTAAGATCGGCCAGAAAGCTGCAGCCTAGAACAGTGCAAACTCTGAGCGGATACAGTCGAACATTCTGTACGTTTGGTATATTGCATTGGACATACTGTGTACTAGGACATACTAAATGTTTTCTCTGTAGCAGTATAGGTATTGGAAACCGCCCATGATCTCACTCAGAAACACTTTGAGCTTCTAACTTCCTCTTTGGCCACTTGAGGCCCACGTAGACAAAGACAAGATGATGGTCTGCACTGATATAGAACTTTTATCCAAAGCGCTTTACAGTGTGTTCCTCATTCACCCATTCACACATTAATGGTGACAGAGCTGCCATGCAGGTTCAGTGTGCTGCCCAAGGACACTTCGACTGTGGAGGGGATCGAACCGCCAACCTTGGAGGACAACCCGCTGCACCACCTGAACCACAGCCGCCCTATGACATTATCAGTCTGTTTGTGACTATCTGATGAACAAGTTAGTAATCACTGTAGTTAAGAGCTCTGACTTTGCTCTACTCTTCGTTAACGGCTAATTGTTGCACTGAGACCACCAGGGAGTGTTGAAGTGCATCTGTCTGCCGCTTGGTGCTGATCAGGCAGCGTTCAGTGGTTCTGTTCACACTAAAAACAGCTGCCTGCTGCTACAGAAGAGGGCACAAAGAGCTGACAGTCTGGGGTAACAACACTCACTTTTGGTGTGATGAAGAAGTACTGGGATGTCGTCTCTTTGCAGGCTGTGCGAACCACGATGTCAAAGACTCTCCTCTCATTCACAGGATCCATCCCCTACACAGCAGACAGAGATCGACATACACATCCAGGTGAGCAGGCGGTGACTGCTGCTGGACTACTGCTTACAGGTGTGTGAGCAGGTGAAAACCCGAATGTCTAAAAAAGACGAATCGGCCTTTATACGACTGTTAAAACCCTTAAACGCAGGAGTGCATAAAACCCTGAACCTTTTAAACTCGTCTGTGTGTTTTGATCTCTCAAGGATTTGTGGAGAAAAAGCTTCCATCACAAATCATGTGAGTGAAGAGAGAATTCATTTTGTTAAAGTCGTAAAGAAACACATAAATCAGTAAAAACATAATGAATGTATTTTCCCTGCATGTGTCATTTATTTCATGTAACCACAGGACTGTCCTTAAATGATGAAAAATAAATCAATCTGCTTTGAGGAGCCACATGAGCTTGTTGCTGTCCCACTTTCTTATGTAAACTTGGAATATTTTAAAACAACTATTTTGTAATTGCCCAGCACTTTGAAAACTTCATAAACATCTTTAATATACACAGTGTACTGCAGTGATGATCAACTTAAAGCCTGAGACCATGTGAACGCTGGAGGACTGTTTTCTGACTCTCAGTGAACGTAAATGGATTCACACTGGGATGGTTTTTGTTTATATCATAACTGTTCAATCATGTCTTTTGGCTGTTTCTTAATATGAAACTAAATCATTATTTAAAAGCTGAGTTATTGTGTTTTTTTTATTTTATAGTGTAGAGTATCTCCGGTTGGTTATATTGTTTGAAGCCGGTCTGTGGTGCCGGCTGGCAGTCATGCAAACCTCATGCTTGGTTTACACAATACTCACAGCAGCTTCAGTGTTGTTTTTATGGTTATACGTCATGTGACCAGGTGTGTGTGTGTGTGTGTGTGTGTGTGTGTGAGCGCCACCTGGTTGATCTCGTCCACCACTCTGAAGGGACAGCGGTTGAGCTCCTGTAGGGCCATGAGGTAAAGCATGGTGGAGACGCTGCGCTCTCCTCCGCTCTGATGGTGAGCCGTCAGCTCGTGGAGCTGAGTGCTGCTGTGGAACTTCACCCGGATCCGGATGCCGTACTTATCATACTCCTCCTGCAGCGCAAAGTCAGCAGGTTCAGAATTACAACCTAATCAAAGAAAATAATTAAAATGCCCATAACAGGAACGTTTGAGTTCTCGCCATCAATAACAGTCATTTAATTCTCGTGGATTAATCGTAGCAACTGGACCTGCTTGCTGAAGACGTTCCACCTTCATCCAAGAGGCTTCATCAGCTCTGACTGACCAGCTGGGAGTTCCACATACTGATATCCTGAAGGAGACATTAACACCTGAGTTGTTGCTCCTCCCCCTCGTTATGCGAGTCGTTAGTGCTCCCCCTGACACAGTGGGGTTCGTTAGGGTCTCTGTGGCTCGGTGTGGATGTGGGTTCATCTTCCTGGGGAGAGATCTGAGGACTGAGCTGTGAACAGGTGAGAGGTGATGCCTCAGACCTCCACCTCTGCTGAGGGATGGTCTTTCCAGTTAGATGGATTCTTTCAGCCCCTCTCTCAGACCATCTGTCCTCCCTGCAGGACAACATCTGTACGCTATTATTTAATGTCTCCTTCAGGATATCAGGATGTGGAACTCCCAACCAGTCAGTCAGAGATGATGAAGCCTCTTGGATGAAGGTGGAACGTCTTCAAGGAACTCAAGCAGCTGCTACGATTAAACTACCAGAACAACCAGGACCTGGACTGAGAGTCTCCACAGGCAGTGATTTAACGATGTGAAACGTAAACGTCAAATTCTAAACTTGAATATAAACACTTTCAGTAAACTCAGATTAACTGGTCAGTTGGAGGTTGTACAGAGAAGCAGTGTTTAGACTAAAGTGAATGTTAATCGTGCAGCAGGCAGCTCCTGGGTGTTTGCTGCTCCGCTTACTCCCTGCAGGATAAAGTCCTGCTCCTCTATGGAAACAGCACCACCATCAGCACAGGCCGAGACAATAAAACGTTTGTGAAGCATAACGAAGCTATAACTCCATAAACTGAACAACAGAAGAAAAAGCACTCATACACACTGAACCTTAAACCAGAACGTACATATTTGTTTAAGGTCTGGTTCAGGTCTCAGATCCGATGTCACAGATGAGTCGCTAAAGCTGAAATCTATCAAATCTTTATGTTTTCACAGATAAATGATGACATTCTGGTGATCATAATAACATGTCTGTCAAAGCACTCGGCAGGTTTTAGGGTCCACATGAGTAAATTCTAGTTTTCAGTTCATCACATTCTTGCTGAATAAATGAGAAACTGAAAACCGTCACTGCCTTTGGGATTTTATTCTGTTTCTGATGTAATTTTATGCTGCATTCATTTAAAAAGCGGCATACTGGATCTGGATATTGCATCCATTGCCACACAGCTTTAATGGGGTCAGTAGGCAAGAGTTACACCCTCATCACCACATCCAATCTGTTCTATGTAAACTTGTGCTCAGTCATTAGTTCAGTGAATAAAAGGAAGCAAGCACTGAAACCCCTGTGAGATATCAGCTGGAGTGTGCTGCTGTTCCGTGGTCCGCATTACCTCGTTCTCTGAGTGCAGGTCGACCTCTCCTGCACACTGCATGGAGTGAAAGAAGTTGCTGAACTTGTCATTGATCTGTTCAACCAGCTGCTTCAGAGGGTTCAGCCAGCGCTCCTTAGCCTGCAACACACACCAGGAGCAATGACAGACTGAAGCATGTCGCTGAAGAACAACAGTCTCAGTGGAGATAGCCATGAGCACACACCTCTGATATGTTCTGTCGGTAGGCGTTCAGCTCGTTGCTCTTCTCCTCCAGCTCTTTCTCCAGATGTTTGATCTCCTGCTCTCTCCTGTTGTACTCGTCAACAACCTTTCAGGATGAGGTCTAACATCAGTGTACATTCTGAGGAAAGCTAAATAAGCTGCTCAGCATAAAGTAGAGATAATAACGATCAAACATGTTGTACAGTCTGACCACACTGCCCTGTAGAGACTAAAGAGGAGCTTCCAAATAACTAAATCAGTACCACCATTCCAGATTTATGACTTCGATGACACTGTACTTGATTTTTGACATTTTCAGGTCCAGTAATAAAAACAGATGTTGTTATTTGATATTTGCAGGACAGCTGCAGATGATGTCTGAACTGACTGGGGAAGTCTGGCTCAGAATACATCTAATAAAGAATTAGGTCATGACTGGACTTAATTTAAACCCTCACAGTGCAAATGAAAACAGGACTCGTGTGTGTTCTTACATTCTCACTAAGGCCCGTGAAGCACTCGGCTCTGGACCGCTCCTCGTTCAGCATGGCCTCGATCTCGTCCAGCGTGCTGGGCAGCTTGCTGAAAGCCTGCATGAGGGAAAATCAGCAACATAAACTATTCACATCTTATGTTTAAAAGGCCTCCACAGCAGCTTTGAGGCAGTGGTGATGTTTTTAGGCTTGCTTCAGTTATTTGGATAATGACACTGACGTTACGCAGGTCTTCAGGTAACGACTGGTCAGGCTGCATCCTACAGGTGGCCTGCGCTCTCTTCAGCAGGCCTTTGCATTGTTCTGTCAGCTGGACCTTCCTCTGCTCCAGTCGGCTGCATTTTTGCTGCAACAACACGTGGACAGTGAACACAAGAACGTGGCTACATCAGCTCCAGCCTTCCTCAGTGATGGCGTGACCGTATGTAGACGTAAGCTAAACACCTACATCAGTGGTCTTCAGCTCAGAAGCACGTTCTCTGCAGTCACTCTCCAGCTTTGTCTTCTCTGCTGTCAGCCCCACTGTCTCCAAAGCCAGGTGCACTTTCTCCATGGTCAGCTTGGCTCTCAGCTGCAGGAGACAGAGACGTGAAGATTTTTTAAAAAGCAGAGAAAACTTTCATAGCATGCCAGCAAAAGGTTGCATGTTTAGAAATCTACTGTCAAGATATCAGAAACAGTTCATTTTACTGTTGATGTAGTGACAAGCAGACGACCAAACCTTCTCTTAAAGCTGTGATATTTCATCAAAATCACTAAAACATCTGTTGTATACAGAGTTTGGTAACTTTTGAGGAGACACCTTTGTTTATCCCATTTTTTGTATTTTTTGTTTTTGTGAATTTCACTTTGTTAAATTAAACAGAAGACGTCACTCTGAACTTCTATCCATACTTGTGCTCTTTCCACAGAGGTGCCCGACTTTATATTGAAAAATGAGCCCGTGTGAGTAGAAATGTGACAAACCCAGAACCTGCTCGGGGTTCAAAGGGTTCAATGTACGACATAATATTGTTAATAAATCCCAGCATGAAAACACAGGAACATTGATGCAGAGAAACACGGCAGACCATTGGACAATAACCATCCATCATCTCTACACCTTCATCCTCACCAGGGTCATGGGGGGCGGAGTCTATCCCAGCTGACTCAGGGTGAAGGCAGGTTCACCTGGACAGGTAACCAGTCTATCACAGGGCTACACTTAGAGACAGACAACCAAGCACACTCACATTCACACCTACGGACAATTTACAATCACCAATTAACCTCAGCATGTTTCTGGACTGTGGGAGGAAGCCGGAGAACCCGGAGAGAACCCACGCTGCACGGGGAGAACATGGAGACTCCACGCAGGAAGATCCCGGGTGTCCTCACCGGGACGCCAACCGGCGACCTTCTAGCTGTGAGGCAACGGTGCTAACCACTGATCCACCTGCAGCCCTCATTGGACAATATCCAAAACGTAAATGTCATCTTCCTATGACTGACTAATGCAATGCAGCCACACACGAGTTCTCGGTTCTGAGTTGATTCATACCTTCATCTGGGCCATGAACACACCGACAATGGTCACCTTCTGGGAATTGACAGCTGCAATCTTCTCTTTGGTTTCCTCCTCGACCTTCTTCAGGTCAATAACACTGTGCTCCATCTGCTTCAGACTGAACCGGGAAAGAGACAGTTGGACCAGTTCTTAATATCTGCAACTAGAACCTCTTTACAGACTCGACCTGTTAGTTAAGACAACATATATCACGTTGCAGAAGAAACGTGCATGCTCAGTCTCTCTACCTGTCACGGCAGCCCTACCTGTCCTGCTTGGTGCTGATTTTTTGCTCCAGTTGTCTCTTTTTGCCCTTCAGCTCAGAGAGATGCTTCTTCTCTGCCAACAGCTCATTGTCACGTCGGTCCAGTGCGGCAGCGTCCTTCTGCAGGGCCTTCATCCGTTCATCGATGTCTTTCAGCTTTGACTCACAGGCCTGCTCGTAGCAGAGGTCAGCAGTTAAACTCTCGCCTCCATTAATGTCTTCATACGGAAATGTCTCAGCACATTTAAAGGAAACCTACATTTATCAAACACTGAAGTGGAAGAAAACAGTTTGGGTCACGCTTACAACTGATACGTCAGCTTCTCACCTTCATCTGCTGCTCCAGCTGCCGTCTCTCCTCAGCATCCACAGCGATGGAGAGATACTGGGAGGAGTGCACGGCAGAGTTACTGGTGCTGATGTGGTTGGAGTAAAAGGACCTTTTCACGGTGTATCGCTCCTCTGTTGTGTACAACACCCGGAGGTAGGGCTCCTCAATCACCTGGGAGAGGAACAAACAGGAAGATAAAGGTCATCACGGACGTCTTTCTATTTCAAAAAACACAAACGACAAGCTGAACACAGAGAAGGTTGTCATTACGATTTCTCTTTACTTCAGTGAGATTTAACTCATTCTATGTAGAGGCTGTATTTTACATTCAGGAGCTAATTTATTACATTGAGATAAAATCAAAGAATGCACTTTACTGACATATGTGAATATGTAATATAAATAACTCTTATATCAGTGGTGACGCCCGTTTACAACCCTCACACCTCCATCTACAAGAAGAGGATCGTATCGTTTATTTTTAAATGATTGTTTCTGTCCTTTTTGCCTTTATTAGACAGGACAGTGAGAGGGTGAGACAGGAAAGTGAGGAGGACCTGCAGCAAACTGTCATGAGCGGGAGTCGAGCTCACGAGCGCTGCGTCAGGGAGCTACAGCCCCTGTTGACGGGCTGAGCTACAGGATCGTACCGTTTTAATCATGGATTTGGTCTGATCGTTGCCCACTGGCACATCGTGCACCTTGTACTGGTGACAGAGGTAACTCATCACCTCATCAGGGGCGTCAAACATCTCACGGAGGTAAGTGAAGAACCCAAAAAGTCTGCAAAGGAAAGAGAGATAAAGTATGTACAACACATAAAAACAAAACGCTAACTGCTGACAAAGGCGTGACTGCATCTGTGTACATATACTGAATTCGTCAGTGACTACAGCATTTCTCTTGCCTCAAGGACTCGATGTTTCGGGAAGGTGCTCGCTTGGAACACGACTGCTCCGGAGCACAAATGGAGTTCACCTTCAAGTTCATCTTGTCACGGACCTGCGGGTCAGGACAGATTAAAACAGTTGGTCTTTGGGAGGGGAAGCATGCACAGAGGTAGAACATCGCAGCTCACACCACTCTCACCTCAGTCATGAACTTCTCCATGTCGTCTTTCCTCTGGAAGACAAACGCCCGAAGGTCATGGAATGAGATGTGGTTCTCCACATACTTGGCAAAGCGAGGATCCTTCACATTGATCTGTGTGACGAAGACAGGATTACTGTTTGGACTTCAGCATTACAACACATTAAAATGCTAACTGAATATTTCTTCTGGCGTTTTGTGAATCATGACTATGACTTCAGGTACCCTGCTGTCAGACATGACCTCATGGTGAGGTTGTTCTCCATAACCAATGACACAGTGGGTCCTAATAATGTGTTCTGTAGTCAGGTGAAGCAGTATTTTGTGGGGTTCATTCTCCAGTATGTAAATAACTCAGGTGTAAATCATCACTACAGTCTTGTTAGGTTGCTTCCATAATGCTGATCATAAGCTTTTCTACTGGAAGGAACTTCTGCAGCATTTGTTGTCTTCCTATAAAAACACTGTCTTGATGCAATTATTGCATCTAGTTCATGTTGCATGTTTGTGATCTTATTTATCTGCTGAATTTGTTTTATCCAGTTTGACCCTTGTTTTATTGTAAAGCGTGTTTTACAGATACAGTTATTATGATGATGATGCACTACAGTGTGTTATAAACAGCGTATTGAACATCTATGCGTAGCTTCTAAATGCTGAAGTCAGGTCCTGTCCACGTGCTTTAGGGAGACTCACCACCAGCATCATGGGCTCATGGACGTTTCCTTTAAACTTTTCTTTGTTTTGCCTGAGCCACTGGAGGGCAGCATGTGTGTCCCTGTGGCGTCCTCGCAGCTTCTCCTCTTTGACATTCATCATGTTGTTCATGTCATTGAGCTTCCTCTCCAGCTCTGGCAGTAGATATAAACAACCACAATGAATGTGAACCACAGTCTGCAGTCAACAGTGTAACAGTCAGATATACGTTTTTGTTCATGGAAACTTGTTCGAGGGACACTGCACGTGGAGAAACTCACTTTTGGACTCGGCAAAGAGATTGTCCCTCTCCCTGCGCAGGTCAGCCTTTTCTCCTTCGATCTTGGCTCTATCCTCTTGGATGCGCCTCAGCTCAACGTTGACGGCATTGATGCGCGGGGTCACGTCTGGTTGGTCGCCAACTTTGGCCAGCTCTACCTTCAAGTCCTCGATGATCCGTTTGGTGTTGCTGATCCGCTTCTGGTGGTCCTCCTCCTCCATCTGCTTCAGTTTGAGCGTTTGTTTAATGTCGTCAATCTGTGGAGAAGAGCAGGTACAGCGGTCATTTATCACCAACAAGCCACAGCCGCAGACACATTCTGCTTTTTGCTGTGATGAAAGGGAAAATGGACAGGAAGAGTCAGCAACTCTGGAGGTAGGACTGCATCAAAAACAAAACTAATGGGGATTCTGTATCACTCAAATGAGAATGTGTGTACAGCAGCTGACACTTTATTGTCTTTGATGGCTGCAGGACTGTGTTTTTCTCACCTCTTTGTGTTTTCGGTCCAGCTGATCTTGTTTCTGTTTGCACTTCAGAGAGGCTTCTTTGATGGCAGCAGTCTGAAAAACATCATCCTCATTTTAACCATCCTGATAATATCACACAGCCTGCAGACGCGCCAGTACTCACAGAAAAACACACTCAAACCATAGAGCCTCTCTGCTGTAACGGCATGCTAAAGGTGTATGAATATTCACCATTAAAGGCATCATGCACGTTCTCTCCTGTCATTAAGTCGAGCTTCAAACATGACAATACATGGGTTCTTTATGCTCTTTCAGGTTCGAGCGAGGTAACACCGGTTATGTGTCATAACCCCAAATCTACAAGTAGGAACAGAGGTGAAGTCCTTTCAGGTCTAAAGAGGAAATCAGGGCAACTGTGAGACAGCTGCTCGTTCTCTGAGAGCAGGCGTCATGCAAATGTCTTCAGTGATGACAGTAACGGAGAAAAAGGCCGGACTTCACACAGAGCAGCATTTCTGTGGGAGAGAATACCTTCCTTTGGTGTACACTTTGGATTTTTTAATATTTGCAGACCAGTAATATAAAAAAAGTTACAGCACACTAAAGGAAAGGGGAAATAAACACAAATGTAGAACACAGGCTCTTTAAGACTGTGAACCTATCATCAGCTCGGTCACCTTGGCCTTTATTTGGGCCTCTGTAGGCTGCAGCTGGTTGTCAATCAGCTGGATTTTCCTCAGCATGGGTGCGTGAGCTTGTTTCAGTGCTAAAAGCTGCCTCTTGGCCTCTTCACGCTCCTTCTTCACACCCTCGAGCTCCTTACGGGTCGTTTCGTACTCCTAGTGCCACAGGACAACAGAAACAGCAACGATCAGGACAATTCAGTTTGTCTCTGACTGTTCATTTCTCTCTCTGTGTTGATCACTCACCACCCACGGTTTCTTTTTGTCAAGTAACTCGATCACATCCAGGTGCCTTTTCCTTTCGTAGTAACGGTTGACATCATGCTTGTTCCTCTCATTCCTCTGCTTGGCCTTCTCCAGGAAGCTTGCCTTCTCCTTCACAACGTTCTACAGACAAACAAACCCCCAGCAATACTGAAAAACCCTGAAAGACAAATGTGCCTTTACACAGTATAATATGTGACGTGTAATTTCTCTGTAGGGGTAGAACAATGTGTATCCTCATACATGCTCCATAGTGTTTACTGGTTTATTATCTGCCAGTGATCAAAGGCAACAGAAAACCACCTCGGACCTGCTGGACTTAGAAACCTAACGTCACCTCCAGTTCTCTCTCCTTGTTGCGGAAGTTTTTCAGCTCACAGTGGTACTCGTACATCTCTGGCGGTCCCACCGATTTCTCAGTGGCCTCCAGCAACTCGATTTTGGACATCTTGGCAAACTCTCCCACTTTCTCCTGCAGGGAAAAACAGAGCCACATCAACAGACAGGAGGAAAACGGCGAGACACTAGACAGCATATGTCAGCAGCTGCGATTCAAACACACCTGAGGCAGAAACTGGCAGAGGTTGCTGACTTGGATACGCAGGGCCTTGACCTCCTCCTCCACCGTTTTCTGGTTGCAGTGTCTCCCGTTCATCATCCACAGCGACTGATTGTTCTCCACGTGGATCTCTCTGTTAATCACGACATTGCCACCGCTCTTGTACCTTGAATCAGGCAGAGTTTGGTTATAAAATAACATAAAATGAAATTAATCAGAGTTAATGGTTCATTTCTAAACATAATAATCAGAAACTTCTAAGAACATGCAACACAAATGGACTTCCCTTATCTAATAACGCTGTATTGGTAGAGTGACGGTGTGAGCAATCCATTCAGCTGAACTTACAGTTCAATCTCAACATAGCCTTTATTCATCCCACGTTTGACGTAGAGCCCAACCTACAAAGAAAGAAAAACAAATGAACACTTTAATAATTAGAATCTTAATTCTAATTAATGTATTTGTCAGCTCAATTTACTGTAGAAGACTTTGACACAGAGTCAGGACTGAACAATCAGAATAACTGTCTGCATTTCACCTGCTTCATGCTGACCTCTCTGCTAACTTTCATTTCAGCTTAATCACTGGCCTTTGGAAAGTAAAAGTCAGCATCAAAGCGCGGTGCTCTTATGCTGATTACCTTGTCACCTCTGCCCAGAACAGCAGTTTTTCCAGCCAGACCCAGACAGATGGCACACACAATGCTGGACTTGCCAGTTCCATTGGCTCCAATAATCATGTTGAGATTAGGTCCAGGATACACCTCAGAGTAATCATAGGTCCTGTAAGGGCACGAGGAGACATCTGGACATGTGAACGAGGTAAACATCCTAATGCATTTAAAATAATAAATAACGGGTGGTTCTTGAGGGTTTTACTGGTGTTTTATAGCAGAGGTCAGCACCTTGTCTGAAATAAATGACCATCTCCACTGACGTTACAAAAACGATTCAGAAACACTAAAACTGACTGAATGAGACATGATGCATCAGGTCCTTTGTAGTGATACCAACTGGGCTCAACAATTTTGTTTGGAAATGACTGCTAACTGTAATGAACTTATTGAACTCTGCAGATGTAGTTATCTCCGGTAGATCACCTGGTTAAAGAGCACATGTACTAATTATTAGTCCATAATAACAGGCCTGTTCCTGCATGTCTTTCCTCTTCCCTCTCTTCCCATTTTTTCCTGCAACACTCTTATTTTTTAGCTCCTCTTCAGGCCCTGCTGGCCCTAAAAGAAAGGCAGGGCTCTAAGCAGACAGCACCTGTTCACCTGGTGGTACTATCAGCCAATAGCATTCACCACCCGTGTGCAGCTCATCCTAACCGCCCCAGTTATGTCTGTTTTGGAGGTTGTATTAATGGAGATAATCTACCTGTGCATTGGGGTAAAACAGCCTGTGTCGTATCTGATGCTAATCCAGTCCATCTCTGTTGTGACAAAGAGGATGAGCAACATGTTGGAAGTCTCTCAACAGTACGACAAACTGCAGCTTCCACACTGAATTTATACATCTATCTATGACAATCTCAGGAAAAGCTGGAAGCTGATAAATACATGAGAGCAGAACTGCTGCAGTACCGGAGTGTCGGACTGCAGCAGCTTCAGGTGGGCGCTCCTCACAAGCTGGAAACCTGCTGAGTGGAAAGTGAAAGAACTACGAACTGTACTGATTAAGGACTCTACTTTAAGATCTTGAGACATGGACAGGTCTCCACCTAGACCCCTGCCCTGGACTAGGCCCTCGGACATGCTGAACTGTGACTGGACCTGAAGGGGAAGGTCTGCCTGCAGCGTGAACACAGGAGCTTCCGTGTTGACGTCTTTGCTGTGGAGCCGCTGAAGCAGCTAGCTGGCTGTTAGCAGCCTATTAGCAATTCAGTTTGACATCTGGGTGTCAGATCAAATCATAAAAACACAGCGCTGCTATGTTAGCTTGTCTGCTAGCTCAGCCGTGCCGCTGTGGCTAACAACAGACTCCGGTTGACAGACGCTCCGCGGTGCTGACGGGCAGCAACTTACAGGAAGTTTTTCATGGTGATGCGGAGGATGGCTCCCTCCACAAACCGGCCTTCTCCGTCGGTCGCGCCGCTCTGACTGGCCGCGAACATTGTCCTTCTGGAGCTCTCTGAGCTGCCGATGCCATGAAGGAGCCGCCGCTTCTTGCTGAACGATGCCATGGTGACCAGAACCGCGAGCCTGCCGGTGACCCACGGGCACTGGATCCGCCAGGTTCGCGCGCTGTGCTGACTCCTTGTTGAACCTGGTTGGACGAAACGGGTCACGTGGCTGACGCTATCGTTTGTTATCGCGAGATAATAATAATAATAATAATAATAATAATAATAATAATAATTTATTTCTAGTTATATATTTTATTTCTATAGAACATTTAAACAACAAAGTCACATGGTCCTTTACAATAAACAAATGTTAATAAAGTAAAAACATATATTTTAAAATGAATAAAATCCCAAACATGTACAGTGAAGGAGATAAAACGCTTTTCATAGATAGATAGATAGATTGATTGATTGATTAAAGACATTAAATAGGCTACGTTTTTTAAACTGTATACTGATGTGAAAATAAAATATATTACAGATATAAACAGAATGCCAAACGGCAGTCCCTTACACTCCTTTCTGTTAATATGACAGGATTTGAATGTGTTGGCTTCTTGTCTGAAGGAGAACACGTTAGGAGGTCTCTCGGTCAGATCTTGTAACCTTCAGCAGCGGCACAGATCTGAACTACATGCTGTCTCATTAACAGAAAGGCACTGCAAGCAACATACTTGAATTGTGTGAGGTGATTTCTGAGAGACATTTTTGGGGTTTTAGCACCAATATTGGTCCAAAAACATCACAAAAAAGCAGCAAAGTACACTGTTAACATGCCAAAACACACCTTTCTCATTCACTTCGCTCGATCATTTCAGATCTATCAGGCCAATAAGTGAGATGTCCATAACAATAAAACTAAAACACTGTAATAAAAAACAGACACGAACAGCTTAGATTGACGACATTCACCATTAGCTAATGTAATCACGATATGTTCCCTCACAAGATGCCCCTCGCTGCTCAAGTTGAGTTTGTTGCTCCCAGATGTTTGTAGGAGTCTTTCCTCTGAGTTTATTAAACACCTGCAGCATCAAACAGCAGCTTTATTCATATGAGTGCCTCCGAAGCAAGTAGTCTTCAATTAATCAGTTCATTATTATGTATTCCACATCAATGTGCGGCCCAATACTGTCTGAATGACAGAATGGCATCACTTTACAGACTGGTGAGGGCCAGTAACATGTCTGACAAAGGCAATATTCTAATATTGTGAGATTAAGAGGTAAGTTTTTCTAAACTTCACATCAGATGTATTCTGTAAAAACATTTTGGAGAGTTTCTGAGATTCATGATTCAGAATATTAATTATTTTTGTGAGTTCTGTCTAATAAATAGACTATTTGTCATATGTTTCTTCACTAAGTATCCAAAAGTACTGTGGATAGACCGTAAGCATTTTTAGGAGAAGGAGAAAGATTAAATGATCCAACCATGGAACAAAAACATTTTCTTTTTTCATTGCACTGTTTGTCTACCTAATGAGGAAATTCTGTAGAAGATGCAGAATGATCCAGCCAAGCATTGTAATGTGTTTTTATACAGACTCAGAGTTTCGTTCCCTGATCTCTTAGAATGACAAAACAGCACATCGATAGAATCTGTGGGTCAGTCTAGTCCAGATTTACTCAGCTGATTGGTTTTTGATCTGGACTTGGCCTAATATGGTCCAGATACAGAAAAAGCAGTGGAATTTCCCTAGTTTGCATTTTAAAAGCATAAAGGGTTCACAAATCAGACATCGTGTTTTAAAGACTATCTCGCATTTCTGGCATCTAGATTTCCATCCATCCACTACCTATAAACCGCTTAATCCTCACCAGGGTCATGGGGGGCGGAGCCTATCCCAGCTGACTCAGGGTGAAGGCAGGTTCACCTGGACAGGTAACCAGTCTATCACAGGGCTACACTTAGAGACAGACAACCAAGCACACTCACATTCACACCTACGGACAATTTACAATCACCAATTAACCTCAGCATGTTTCTGGACTGTGGGAGGAAGCCGGAGAACCCGGAGAGAACCCACGCTGCACGGGGAGAACATGGAGACTCCACGCAGGAAGATCCCGGGTGTCCTCAGCAACCTTCTAGCTGTGAGGCCACGGTGCTGACCAACTGCGCCACCTTGCAGCCCTGCATCTAGATTTGACAAGTCTATATGCGGCGGTTGCAAATTTGACAAATAGTATAAATGTCACACAAATGTGAAAGTAGTTTTCAGACACCATTAAGGGTTTACCCAAAAATATCACAGAAGGAAGGAGGCTTTACATTATTAAAATATGGTGGGTGAAGTTTCCCTTAATTTTTCTCTTAATTGTCGAAATTAGTCGTCGCACGTAGTTAAATAAAAGTTCGTCGGCTCAGTGACAATAAACCTGACCTAAAAAAAATAAATAAAATAAAATTAAATAAAATTAAATAAAATAAAATAAAATTAAATTAAATTAAATTAAATTAAATAACGTGCGTCGAGATTTTTAAAAAATCCGCCAACTTCCATTTTTTTTCTACACTCTATATGACGCAACCGCGCAGGGCCTCGTGGTGCATGCTGGTCATTGTAGTTTGTAAGCAGGTTAGCGGTAACTGGTTTGTTTAGGGCGGTCACCGCTCTTCAGCAGGGATCGAGGGTTTGAATTTTAACATCTGCTGCCCACCATCGCAATCAAAATGGAAACATAAAGAACTGGAGCCTATAGTTCGGTTGCAGAGCTGTTGTTGTCCTGCAGTGGGCGGCTTGTGGACGAGGTGAGACGACGGTTGTTGATTAGCGCTAGCTAGTTAGCTAACACAGTGGCGCCGTCAGTCCGATGACCGTTATTGATGTTGTTGTTTATCCTAACTTTCAATTCCAAGACCTTGATGAAGTTGACAGCGAAGATCAGTTAATTCTCTTCTGAAGTGTTGGTAAAGTGTCCGTGGGGATTCTGTCGGTGACCCAGTTTCTGTAGTTCGGTAGACGTTCAGCTCAAACTAATGTCAACATCAGCTGGACCCAGCGGTCGCCTCCTTGTTTTGTTTCTGCACGTTTTCACACTGAAATCCCATCAGTCAGTTTATAATATTGCAATAGTGGTTTATGATGTGGTCAATTATCAAACAGGTCACGTATCTGTAGGTTCTGGGCGGTGGAGGAACCCGACACCGGGAGGTACCGGGAGGTACCGGGAGGTGGGGTTTGGAGGCAGCCTTTATAAACCCTCCTGTCCTGGACCTGCAGGGATACTTGGTGGAGAAGTTCTGAGATTTCAGTGAACAACAACTGGAATATGTTGTTTTCCAGGATGAGGGATCTTCAAGGCGTTGACAGCCTGCTCTTGAAGGAGCTGAAGTCATGCTGTGCCAAAGAGTCCCACTTCCTTCCCAGGGAGGCCGGCCTGAGGCTGATGGAGGCGGCCTCTGAGGAGGTAACCCACTGACCCACTTTCACATTTGTGGCTCTCAGTGCAGGGATAGGGTTCTGCTACAGTCTGTACTACATCCAGTGATGTCTTCTAAAACATACTGGTCCGTTTTCAGAACCACGGCGGAGTCTCTGGGAAATGCAGAGACAGCCGAGTGGAGGAGCTGTGGGGCCTGACCAGCTTCTTCGGCTACAGCACCCAGACCTTTGTTCAAGCTGTCAGTTTGCTTGACAGATTTCTCACCATCATGAAGGTAAGAATTTCACGTGCAATGTGTTGTTTTAATATTCCTCTTGAATGATTCGGGGAGAACATCTCATGATGACTCTTCAGACAGATAGTGGGACTGGATTTCTATGTAGTCCTTTAAAGTCAAGTTTCAGTTCAGTACTCGCTGTGGAACAGATTTAAACACGTGATGGAGAATTTTCACGCAGCGTTGTTCAAAGTGTGACTGTCACACACAGTCAGGAGACATGAGGCTGTAAACCCAGTGATGCATCAGTTTCATTCCTGTCACTGCGCTGCACAGTGTGTCCTCAGTGACAAACTGTAGGATTTTCTAAATGCATTGCAAATCACAGACTTTGATTTAAAACTGAATAATTGTTGTAGCTGTAGTCACTGTCAGCAGCCAGAAGGAAGCACAACTACAAGGATCTTGCTTGACCTGGAGTCACGAGATGCTGACTCACGGCTCCGTCTCGCTGTGACAGGTCCAGCCCAAACACTTGCCCTGCATCGGAGTCTGCTGTCTTCACATTGCCGCCAAAATGGTTGAGGACGAGAGCAATGTCTCATCCACCCATGAACTCATTCGCATCAGCCAAAGCAAGTTCACTGTGTCAGACCTGTGTCGCATGGAGAAGATCATCTCAGAGAAGCTCAGCGTGGAGCCTGAAGCAGTGACCGCCTTCACCTTCCTCCAGCTCTACTACTCAGCCTTCACCTCCCTGTCTGCTGGAAGGTAAGCGCTCCCCTTTGTGTCCCCTGTTGCGCTGGGTGATGCACTGCACCACTTTGATTGGAGCTGGTCACATAGATTCTGCTTCATGCGGTTTGTTCTGGCGGATCACATTAGGATTCCTCTATATTTTAAGGAAGGAGATCCCAAGCATTGGGAGACTGGAAGCCCAGCTTAAAGCCTGCTTATGCCGGCTTGTTTTCTCTAAAGCAAAAGTAAGGATTGTTCTCAGGCGACAATTTCACAGCATAGCGGCACTCGCTTAGAGTCTTACGACTGATTAATCTGCTGTTTTGCTTCTTCGCAGCCGTCAGTGTTGGCGCTGGCCCTGGTTGCTCAGGAGTTTGAAGCCCTCCAGGCCGTCACGCTGATGAAGATTGTCCAACAATTCCAAAGACATCTGAAGGTATGAAGAGAGGAGGCTGCAACAACCGATCAGTGTCTCAGTTAGTCAGTATTATGTCTGCATATAAAGATAAATAAATCACAGTTTCTTAGTGATGATGCGTCTGCTTACATGTTCTGATTTTATCTGAAGAAACACCCACTGCTGATGAACCTATGAGCATCACTATTTGAGCAGCCCATAGTGTTAGAAGACTGGAAAGGCTCGATGTGGCTCACGTCCTAAAGCTTAGCTTCCAGCTCTAATGATGGTGTTTCCTGTATTTCTTTTCTTTTGTATTGAACAATGTGGCAGGACGATGCCACCGTCTGATCACGTGCACCAGGTGGAAGAACACCTGAAGTGTTGATGACAGGATGTTATACGACTGGTTCTGCCTCTCACATGTTTCCTGTTTGTCGTCTTCACAGATCAGTGGCAGCGAGCTGCTCCACTGGAAGGACCTGGTGGCCAAGTGTATGACAGAGTACCGCTCGAGTGAATGTAATAAACCCGACAACAAAAAGCTTGTCTGGATCGTGTCCAGGAGAACAGCGCAGAACCTTCAGGCCAGTCACTTCAGTGTTCCTGGTCTGCCAACTATTCCTGAGAGGAGCTGGGACGAGAGTGAGAGGTCAATAGTTCAGGTTTTCTCTCCTTCATGCTGACTGACGTTACTGAGCTGCGAAGAGGTATTTTGAGTTCAGTTCTAGAGGTGAACTTGATTAATGGCCGGTTATGTGTTTTCTCAACAGCAGTCTTGTCAGCCTGTCCTTACTGAGCTGCATTTGAGCTGATGGTTAAGCCTTCATATGTCACTCTCACATTGCTATCACCTTATCACCTGGACGTGAGCTGCAACTTGCAGTTATTTTGTTCATCAGTGAAACCTCTGAACCCTCAAACCTGCTGGCAGGTTTGGAGAAAAAAATGTGCTCCACCAGTAACGGAGGGTTACTGGTGGAGCGTATCTGCCACTCCCCCGCCGCCACCGATGGAGGAAACAGAAGTGTGAGCGCTAACTAAACTAGCATCAGCAGCCAAGTACTGCCTGTGTGTTCTGGACACTTCCACCCCGTCAGAGCGCTGCCCCGGGGTGGAAGTGTCCAGAACGTGCACAAACCGGTCAGTTAGGCTGAAGTCCAGCGATGCGTCGTGTTCTAACAACACACTAGTTATTATAACAACTATGAACAATAATGAACAACTAATGATCCTTCCAGCATCCTTGTATCTGGACCTCCGTCTGGACAATCCGACATAGAAGAAGGTTTTACATTTAGTGTCGCTCATCGAGTCACGGCTGAACCTCACGTTTCTAAGTCAAACGTTGGTCTGTCAGCGTCTGTTGGTGGTAAATATCACAGAATGATCAACGCGTTTCTTTCTACTTGTAACATCTCCACCATTGTTTACATCCACGTCTACTCCGGAGCTGTTTGTCTCTGCTGCTGTTGACACGTTGCTGCTGTTCTTTACGGCCTCATGTAGGTCAGTGGAATAGTGTCACACAGACGGCAGCACTACGTTCTTCCTCGTGCAGAAATAGAAACAGGACCCACTTGTAAAAACATTTTTCTGTGGCACTACTAGCAGTGACAACGCCTCACAGAATAACTTTTAACAGACCAGAATGTGCTGCAGCCACAATACATGTGTTGTAAAACACACGTTTTCACTTTTGTTTCCCCACATCAGCACAGCTAGTCAGGAAGGGACCATCAACAGTTTCTTTTTGGAAGCTTATGAGTAAGATGTCCAGGTTCATTAAAGTCAGACATGTTGTCGCTGGTTAAACTAACAGACCTCACAGCTACAGGTTTAATCCGCTGTAGGTAATTCATGTTACTTCAGTAGAAGTGTTTCTGGTGTTGCTGTGCAGCCAGCGGTTCATTGTGAGTGAAAAGATGCACCGCGTTGTGAGATGAGTTGTGTTTTTGTGGAGTTAAAGTCTGGTTCATCTCCGTTCAGCTTTTCCAGGTGTAACAGCACACGCTGCCTCGGCAGGGTTGTGGTTCTCGTTAGACGTCTCCTAGTTGTTCTCACTCAAGCCTTTGAAAGGAATTGAATTTTCTAAACCACGTCTGTGCTGGATTACTAATGATGCTTTCAGACCTGACCCAGATGGACCATTCATGGTGTTGTAGTGTATTATTAGCACAGTTATTTGTGATTCTTATGCATGTCAGCAAAGCCCTGATGATGAACAGCCTCCTCTTCTCTCGTAGCGAGGACTCCTGCGAGGACCTGAGCGCTGGAGAAGACAGTCCGTGCGGTTCGTTAGGAAGCGACGGCGAAGGAGCCTTCTTCCCCTCCACGTTCCTCAGCAGCAGGAAGTGATGAGCCTGAGCTGAGCAGATGTCAGGGCAGACCTGTGTGTCTCACTCGTGTTTGGTAGTTACGCCAAGTGACAGGTTTTTATCATGAAGTGCCTGTGTTCATGTAGTTTATCGTCTGTTCCTTTAATGTCTAAGCAAACATATCGTAATGATGCAACAATGGACAAATTGCAAAACCTTGGCAGCTTGATGGCAATACATCTGAATGTCTTCGTTCCCCGAGATGTTCTCTTTGTGTTTGTTTGTGTCCGAGCTCGACACATTCCAGGAAAAACGGTGAAGCACAAAGACGACGTCGGTCATGAGGTACACTCGCCTTGATACCAGCCAACACACGAGCACATCCTCAGTGGTTTTTTTTTACAACTGTTTTTATACTCCGTCCCATACACAGTGTTCTGCTAGCGTGTTGTTCTGATGTGACATATATGACGTGGTGGTGAGGAAATACCAGCCTGTAAACGCATGTGATGATGAATGGATGTTCACGTGTACCAAGATAAGCTTACTGTAAAAAAAAAAAAACGTTTTAAAAAAATGTACATAACGTGTATAAAAAGAAGAAAAAAATCTGTTTTGTGATTGCTGCATAACGTGAGACGTATTTGGATATAATGTGAAATATGTTGGCAGGTCAGAAACAAGCCTTCCAATAAAAAACCTTTTATCAACCACATGTTGTTTGTTTCAGTCGACCTGCTTGTGTTCTGAGTTGTCCTCCAGTGTTTTCTGTATTCAGGGGAAGCAGCCCCGGTGTGTACGTCCACCGCCTGGAACCTGGAAGTCATTCATATTGTGAAGGTGTTTTTGCATCGCTGCATTAAATACGGTTATTATAGTTATTATACATAAAGAGTCAGCTGGTTCTGAGACACTTTTCATTGTCAACACCTTCATGAACACAATGCCAGGCCCGTCCCAGGCTGCGTGTCACCTCTTAGCGCCCCCTGTGGTCTGTTTCCTGTATTTGCAGTGTGGTTCTGTTTTTCAGAGTCACATTTATATATGAAGACAACAAGAATACAAACAAAGAGCTGTGCAGTTACAGCAGGAAGCTATAAAACACAACAGCTGACAGACAAACCTGGATGAAAAACACAATAAATGAATGTAAAGATCAGCACTGGAGGGATGAACTCGGGCTGGACCTGCTGGCTGCTGTGAATCAGGGCCTGTTGGCAGCACTGAGCTAAATGCATGGTGGTAAAATAAAGCTGCTGATGAGTTGCTCTGTAATACTAATGCTTTAACTACATTTCTTTATGATTTAAAACCAGATTCTTGGTGCAGTAAATTGAATCGGTTTCATTTTTCTCCACCTTGACTTAAGGGTTTAAAACCAAGTGCGGCTGATTACTGAGTAACTGATGGAGGAGGAGAGACTAGAACCACATACAGGTCCAGTTAGAACTCAGACAGACTGATGCATTGTTTTCTGTGTATGTGAAGGTCCCAGATTGTTCTGCTGAACCTCTGACTGAAAACACTATGAACTGGAATCACTCAGATGAATCCCTTGAGCACAGAGCTTCCCTCCAGTGTGAGCAGCACTAATTCAGATATGAACCCTTCAGCTGGTTCTGCCCGTCCGGATCAAACACACCGAGGGCACCAGTTTTGGGGGATTTGTCTGTCTGCTCCTCTGATCTTTCCAAAACCTCCTTCATCTCTCTATTTTTGTCCCATTCAATTTATTAGCGGACAATCCCTCCTTTGTGCGCAGCAGCCTGCGCCAGTGCCAGTGAGGGGGTGGAGGCGGTGCTGATGCTGCTGCTGCTGGTGAAACTGGGGGATCGTCGCTTGTAGCTGCTCGGACGTGTTGACACGCACTTCTGCTCCATCTCCTCCATCAGAGCGGCAGCCTGGAGGGCAGAGCGCAGCGGCGGCAGGCGGAGGGATGAGAGCGGACCGAGCCGCGGAATCTCCACCATGCGCCCCACCGCCGACACCAGCACCACCAGCACCACCAGCACCACCAGCAGCGGCAGCAATCGTCCATTTCACGCGATTATATGAGCCGATGAGCGGCCGTGTGCGTGAGCCCCGCAGACCGGCAGCAGCAGCGTGCAGCCCCGGCCACGGCCACATAGGCCAACGCCTCGACGCAGCTACATACAGGGAATGAAAACGCTCCCAAGATGGTCCGCATCGCCAAGGCCCTGGGGCTGGTGATCCTGTGCGTCGCCGTGCTCATACTGTCGCTCATCAGCTACGTGTCCCTGAGAAAAGACAGCCTCTTCTCCTCCTCTAAATACTACATGGGAGGCCCGAGGATTATGTTCCACGCAGGCTTTCGGTGAGTAATGACGTCTCAGCCGATGCTGGTTGGGGTCCATAAACACCGGAGCCGGGCCTTGTGTGCACGACTCCGGCTCCAGTCCGCCTTCCCTGTCAATCAAACAGAGCTGTCCGGGGTGCTGATGGTGCAGGATGGATAGGTGTGTGTGATGAAGGGATGGAATGAACGAGGATGGCATGGCTGTCAGCATCAGCATCAGCAGCAGCAGCATCCAGCTTCTGGGCTCACAAGCCAGCCATCCCGGTCATGCTGCATTTTAGGAGGAAATCTTCTCCCTCTGCTCCATAAACTCACTTTGCAGATTAATCACAGGACATATCGTTACAAAACAATGTATGTCATTGATTTTCTCATTAAAAACCAAATCAGCTGGACGACTACGATCACAGACACAAGAGAGGGTAGAAGACAACTGTAATAAAATAACTACATTATTTCATATTTATGTGTGTTTATAAAGGAGGGACATATGCTCATAGGTGTTGTTATACAGTAAAAAGGGAGTTTGATGGTCCTCACTGAGATAAAGCTGAGACGTGAACAAATAAATCCTGTTTCATTGATTTATCTCATGAAGATCAAATCATATGAGCAGATGTGAGCACAGATGTGAGGGTGTTTTATATGCATCTGGAAGAAAAATGAAACAGAACAATCTCTCACGTTTGTATTATTTCTTATTTATATGATGTGAAGTATTGGTAAAGAAGACCGCCTGCAGAGCTGTCAGATATGTTATGATATGTTCTTTAAAAGTGGCCGTTCTGCATTATCAGTGCTGTTCCTTGTGGTGCTTCTCATCCTTGTTGATGTTCAATCTAAAGCTCTGAATGCGTGACTTTATTCGTACACTGTGCTCTGGCTGTGTTTAAGGACTGTTCCTGAACTAATGAAGCTCATCCAGCTGAAACTTTTCCTAACACTCTGAAAACCTTTCAGTCATGAAGGTTTCTAGTGGTTAACCGTGAACCGTATGCTGATCAATCGTTTCCATCTGGAAGTGAACACAAGACAAACCTCTGCAGCACAACGACAAACGCACGGTCTTCAATTGTCATTTCATGTGTTAGGAAATGATTGATTAGCGATTAACGAAGCTACTGGTTTATTAAAGGTCTCTTGTTGGAACATTGGCACCAGCATCTCCAAGTCAGACGGTTTCTTTTGAATCTGCCGAGTTTCAGCTGTGATTATGCAGAACATCAATACTTTTGGGGAGTTATACAAAAAAAGAACAAAAAACTAGAAGGAACTAAGAGGACCAAGAGCAGACAAACGTGATCAGAGTCAGTTTATAACTCAGGTCGTCTTTTTTTCCAGGTCTCAGTTTGCCATGAATTTCCTGGACCCGTCCTTCATCCCCTTAACGAACGCCCTAAACGAGGAGCTGCAAGGAAAACCGTCCAAATGGAAGTTCAACAAGACCGCATTTTATCAGCAGAGGTGAGATTTTAACTTCCAACAATCTTCTGCTCCAGTCTGTTCTACATTTCTGTCCCAGCATCTCCAGGATAGACAGCAGACAGCAAAGCGAGGTGCCTTCACGATGAAGAGGAAACACTGTGAAGACGTTAGAAGAGATCTGCTCTGTCACTGTGGGAAAGTTGGGTTTCTAATATGTGTCAAGAACCTTAGAACATCTTTCAGAAGAACATTCTCCAGGCTTATTAGTGACAGTTGATGACGAAGCAGGAAAACACCAAAGAAACACCAATAAACAGCAGCTACCAAGTCAACAGTTAAATTACCAACAGCACGGTTACAGCCACTACCGAACATGCCCCATGCTCGCTTAACCAAAGGAAAGACTGTGATCACTGTTTCTGACTGTGCTTCCATCAGTTTTGGTTTTCAATCCATCTGTTGATTTCTCAATAATCAGATCATTGTTTGGTCTAAAACATGCTCAGTTTGCTCGTGTTGTCTGAGAAACAACCAAAACCCAGCAAAATTCAAATTACAATGATAAAACCAAATAAATAAATTCACTCGTTAGAAGCTGGAACTACCTTCTGTGGACCGTTCCTGTCCTAAACGAGAATCCACTCATCAGAATATCTGAGCTCTGGACTCGTGCTCCACGTCTTGTGTTACATTTTTAGGTATCTGAAGCTGTTGTGAAACTGACCTCCTTGCATTTGTGTCCATGTGTGATGGCTGGTGTCGATGTGTTGCCTTCAGAACCCAGACAACACTCTGACGTCCTCGTTCGTGCTGACAGCGTTAAAGCGTCTCTCTTTGTTTCAGGAAAGACATCTTCAGCTACATCGACATTCCCAACAACTTCTCCCTCACAAAGAACAGCGTGCGCGTCGGCCAGCTGATGCACTTCGACTACTCCAGCCACAAGTACGTCTTCTCCATCAGCAACAACTTCAAGTCCCTGCTCCCAGAGACCTCTCCCATCCACAACAAGCACTACAGCGTGTGTGCTGTGGTGGGGAACAGCGGCATCCTGACGGGCAGCCACTGCGGCCCGGAAATCGACCAAGCCGACTTCGTCTTCCGCTGCAACTTCGCCCCGACGGAGGTCTACTCCAAGGACGTGGGCAAGAAGACCAACCTGACCACCTTTAACCCCAGCATCCTGGAGAGGTACTACAACAACCTGCTGACCATCCAAGACAGGAATAACTTCTTCCTCAACCTGAAGAAGCTGGAGGGAGCCATCCTGTGGATCCCCGCCTTCTTCCTTCATACCTCAGCCACAGTAACCCGGACCCTGGTGGACTTCTTTGTGGAGCACAAGGGCCAACTGAAAGTGGAGCTGGCCTGGCCGGGCAACATCATGCATGATGTCAACAAGTAAGAGCTAATCTATAATGTCTGCAACACTTAGTGGTAGAATTGTTCAAGTCTCAGACATAAGTGAGATTTTATGAACTGATTTCAACACATTTAGACTCAACTCAATGAGCAACACTCTGAACTTGTCCTTCATCATTCTGCAGAAAATATCCAAACTCTGAATGCATCAGGGATGAATAAATACTTTTCCAAAATAAAATATCACCTAAAGTTTGAAAATGCTTCTGGTTTAAATAGTAAAACACCAAAGAGCACTTTTTAAATGTCATTTTTTGATATTCAGTGTGACAGACATCAGGAAAAAAGCTTTATAATATGACACCAACAGTATTTATGCAGAAAGCTGTCAATCCTGGAAGTCTTGCGAAGGCTCGTATTCCAGGATCTTGGAAAAAAACACACATTTAGTTATTTCATCTGTTAATATAACAGATTTTTGGGCCACTTGAGGTCAGAAGAAACACAGCTAAAGCTGATTCAGAGATATGTTGATGTTTGCGCTTGTTTTTGACTCTAAGTCCAATATTCATGCTCCTTTGGCTCCATCTTTGGTCTCCACCATCTGGAAACAACGCTGACGAGAGCCGAGCAGTGAAGCTGCTGGCTGGACTGAAATGCTCTTGAACACGGTGGCTTTCTGTAAACACAGTCAGTTAAGTCACTGCTTTTATCAAAATGCAGATAATAGCAACTTCCTAAAATATGAAAAATACAAATACGTGTCGGGGACATCGGGAGGTATTTCTCAAATCCTCGCTGTGACCGTAAACATCACGTAGAGCCAAACAATAAAGCCACAACCACATACATTAAATGACAAGGACACTTAAATAGACATGGTAGAGGACATAAAACCATAATGGAAGTGAGATTACGGCGAGCTTTTGTTAAACGGCGGTAAGGGATTAGTCACGGTAATCTGCTCTCAGGAAAATCAGACGTGTTGGATTTAATTTGTGAAGAGCTTGTCGTTTCTCTTTCAGATACTGGAAGACTAAAAACCTCTCTCCCAAGCGTCTCAGCACCGGGATCCTCATGTACACGCTGGCCTCGGCCATGTGCGACGAGATCCACCTCTACGGCTTCTGGCCCTTCGGCTGGGACCCCAACACGGGCAAGGAGCTGCCTTACCACTACTACGACAAGAAAGGGACCAAATTCACCACCAAGTGGCAGGAGACCCACCAGCTGCCCAGTGAGTTCAAGCTGCTCTACAAGCTGCACAGGGACGGCGTAATCAAACTCAGCCTGACGCACTGCTCGTAGGCGCTCGGCGAGCGTCCGACGGTTCAAGAGGGACTCCAGAGAACACGACCCGCAGACATCCGCTCAGTTCAAACTTCTGTTGTGACACACACGATACGCATGATAAGTGTTAAGGCAATTTCTGATCATTCTGCATATGCACACTCACGTCTCGCTGTAATCTCACGTGAAGATGTCAGGCTCACTCGAGTTGTAAATCACAGCATCGCTCTTCATTTCGTTGTGTTCAGTGACACCGTTAGGGTACATCGATGCTGCTCAGTTGCTTCCATTCCTCTCCTTTGCATGGCTGCTGGCTGTGGCTAAACAGTTCGAACAGAACAACTTTACCTGGAGTCCGCAGGGGATTCAGCTGTGGCGACACAAACAGTCCAATCTTCCAGTTCTGCTTACTATAGATTGATTAATCACCTTTAGAACAGTATTCTGATTCTGTACACTGAAATCACTGCCTAATCTCAGGGAAGGAGTTAGATCAGTGTTTTTTGTAATCAGATTCAAGGCCTCAGAGAGGTGCAGTTCCTGTTTTTCAGGCCTTCCCCCCCGAGGTGTCCGACAATCTGCACTGCTCTGGAAGATGGTGTTTGTTTACAAGACTGTGCTCTATATAGATCTCTACACGCCTGTGTCTTCTCCTCTCTGTGGACAGTGCAGCTGTCCACTTCAAATTTTGTTGAGATTCTTCAAATTTTTGGAATAATAATCAACATTCCAACAATAAGCCATAATTCCATGGACAGACGATTGTCATCACAGTACAGAACTGCGGCGAGCGGTATCGGCCTACATTAGGTTCTGAGAATATCAAACATTTCAAATTCCAATAAGACTACGAGTCTGTAGCCACACTAGCAGCAACATTCAAGTCACAGGAATAATTACATCACTGATGACCAAACGTCAGTAAATCAATACGTTTAGTTCACATCGTACAAACCGACTAAGGGCGTTTTGAAATATCTCCAGTACTTTTTCAGAAAATCTGATTACTTTAATGTAATCACAACACATGATAGTCAAAAACTGGGGCAAATGACAGCTATTTGTAAATCAGTTGCTACGTATGTGAGCAAAGTCCTTTCTACAAGTATTCAGTAACTGACTAGAACAGCTAGACCGGGACATCAGCAGGTGGAGCCCAGGTAGAACCCAAACCCTCCCACACCACAGTTTCTACACATGTTTGTTTTTTTTGTACAGAACTGACAAATTAAATATGTTAAATGTTAATTAGTGAGCTTTAGAATTTCTGATAGTTGCAGTTTATTACCTTTGGAAAGACAGGCAAGCAGTTTCCCCTTAGTTTCCAGTCTTTATGCTAAGCTAAAGGCTAAAAGTATCGATCTTCTCCACAAACACCCAACAAAGCAGATGGGTGTTTTTCTCTAAACTGAAAACCCAACATCTTACGCTTTCAATACTTTTTTTTAAATGATGTACAGTTTCTGAGGGTAAATAGTTTACTGCTAATGGCTAATACCAGCTATGCTTCCCCACTCAACATCATTTAGTGTAATGCTGCCATAGTATTTTGTAAGTTAAGTTTTGTTGTTTTTTTATTTGTAAAATAGCATCTTAAACTTCTAAAGTCAACAGTTGATGACATTTTATCAATTTGATGTTTCATTTTTTACCCCTCCATCTAAATGGCTGACATTAGCAAGCTACCATTAGCTCAATTAGTTGTTTTGCTAGCAAGGAGCTAACAGTTACATCGGGCAGTTTTGAAGGTGGAAATATTTACAACAAGTAATATTTCTGTAACCTCTAGCAGAAACATAACTTAGAGACAATTTTGCAGCTTAACCAGACAGTAACACGCAAAGAAATTCGTTTTTAATGTTGAATTTAACGTTAAATATCAGTTTTTGTGGCTTCTGCCGGAATCAGGTGATGAAATTTATTTGTGACTCCATGAATGTCCCCTTTGGATCAGTTTATTTTAAATATATTCACTTCAATCTGACATGAATGTTGGACCTCTTCCTTCTCTGAGATGTGTCTGTTAACAGTGAAAACCTTTTAGCTCGTAGCTCTGGACAGCTAATGGTTATGTTGGTGTGAGGACACCTGTTTGGATCGGTGGCGTGTGAATCTCCACTTAGCTTCCCAACTCTTCCACCAAACAGAGTTCAGAGACAGTTTTGCAGTATGACCTGAGGCTAACACACCAACACCATCTTGTGACCAAAATCATGCGGCTAGCGTGGCTCAAAACATCAGGAAATACCACATTTTGGACAGAATTTCTTCAACTAGTAACTGATGTGGAGGTTTCAGTTTCAAAACCACGAAACAACGGATACACTATTTATTATAGAGCTTTTGTTGACGGGAGGAAAGTTATTTATTCATCATATATCGATTTAAATATTTGTGACGTAAAACAGAGAAATGAATGAATGTTATATGACGTACTGCATCTTGTATAAAGAGCATGATCCATTTAAACGACGTTGCATGTGAGGCACTAACAAATCTTTTAGGCTAGTTTTGTACAACCTTTTTGAAGATTGTTTTGAGGGTAAAATTTAGTTCTTTGCTATTGTTTGTATTCCTGGTGGTGTGTTCCTTAAGAATACCACCAGTGTCTTTGTATGAGATGTCTGAAGGCTAGAAAAGAACCCTACTGCTATACTCCACATGGGACCAAACCTCTACAGATCAACTTAAAAATGAACAAGCTTTATTTTTTATAACTGTAGATAATCTTGGGTTCGTAAACGGTCTACCCGGTCAGGCCAGACTGAAGCAGGCCGGCTGAGGACGACTGGACCCAAACACTGAAAAGCTGGCCACATGACCGTCTCATGACTCTGCAACATGCGCTCCCTGTTGCAGGTTCTGGCTTCGGCTGAGGTCCGACACACAGAGCAATGCAGTCATTCACGCTCACCAGATGCAGAGTGCGTTTTTGTTCTCATTCAGATTTAGTGCGGTTGGCATTTGCTCGCCATCGTTTCTCACACAAAGCGTTTTTTGTCCGGTTCAGAGTGGTTAACTTGTGCGTCTCGTCTTCAAACCACAGCGCAGTCACAACCATGAAAACACACATCCGGTTTCAGGCCATGCCGTCGTAGATGTGCAAGAACGGCTTCTGTGGTCCCGTCATTAGGATTGTTTTGTAGGTACACCAAAGACGATGTGTTCAAACTAGAAGCGATGGATTGATTTGGGGTTTTGGAAGATGTATTACAACTAACAGCAAGTATTGTTGTCAAAGAAATGCTTTTTTTGATGTTGAATTTGATGTTGAATATCAGTTTCTGTGGCTCCTGCCGAAGTACCGTGGTGGAATTTATTCGTGACTCCATGAATGTCCTCCTCCAGACCACTGGCTCTGAATGAACATGGACGCTGGACATGTTCCTCCTTCGAAATGTTTCTCTGAACGATCAGTAAATTAAATGTGCAGAATGTGTGTAAAGGACAGTGATGCTAGCAACGTCTGTGAGGATTGTAGCTCCAGTCAGAATAACGGCATCGCTTCTTGTGCATCACAGTGCGTTTCAATGAGCAGACAGTGAGATGCGTAACCATGAACACACAATGTCTTTATTCCAAATTCAGCACTACACAGGATTCGCTCCAACAACCCTTTAACATTCTCGTACCTGTGTTCGATCTGCATGGTGACTTTGTTCCATAATGCATAGAAAAGCTTGGCTGCTTATGTACATGTCGTATAAAAGTCATAAATCATGTAAGGGACTGTGCTATCTCGGTTGTTCTAACAGAAGCCATCGTCCATGTAAGAAACCATGTCTTAAATGTTTTTGATTATACTCCATGATAAATATACATCATGTGCCTGCATATTCCTTCCATCAATGCCTCAACGTGTCAAATAAAAACGGTATTTTGCTCTGATATGACCGATCTGATGACGATAATTGACTTTTTCCTGAATTATAACCAACTTCTTACAACAAGTCACATCCCATGTTGGCTGTTTAGACGTATATGGAGAAGCAAACATTTGAGCCTGTTTGAGACACAGGTGAAGGTGATACGTCTGATCAACACTACAAGAAAAAAATATTGTTTTTCAATTACTTATTGAACAAAAATATCAAGAGACGTAATATTCTTCAAACTAGCGTCTCCCTCTTTAGCAGAAATAACTCCTTGTCTCTGACATCAGCTTGATAAACATCTGGAACACTTTCCTTCAACATGTTTGAGGACTTTTGTGCTTGTTTCAAATTTCCCCCAAGATTTCAATCGGATTCAAATCTGGGATCATCTGACCAGGTCAAGCCATTGACCTCCATTTCTTCGATTCCTCGGTGGACCTGCTAGTTTGTTAGGGATTATTGTCCAAGTGAAGACCAACCACAGGTTCAACTGCAACTTTCCAACAGACGGCCTCACATTGTTTTCAAGGATTCAGTCACAGCTGGATCAGCGACTGCTCGCTGCCCGTGTCCAGAGGCAGCAAAGAACCCCCAAACTACTCTGCTTTCAGTCGTCCTTCCAGAGCAGATCATTCCAAAAGGCCTGGTCTGATCACTGGCACGATGTCGTCTTTCAAGGCCGGCCTCCATGCAGGTCAGCCTCTGTCTGACTGTAGATGCAACACTTTGACGCCGCCTGTAGAGTCACCTGCAGATCCTGGAGACGTCTTTCTGCATCAGTCTACTCTGGAGCCGAACTTCCTGCAACATCTGGAACAATTCCGCGTTCTTTTTAAATCTACGGCACTTGGAGATGATTTTTCTTCCAGCAAAAAGATTTACATCAAACTATTGTTTTTCAGGGCCTTGCCAGACTCTCCGACATCCACCAGCTTTTCTCTGAAGGCCTTCGAGGGCTTCACAGGTCTTTGCATGAACAACCTCTAACAGCAAAGACAACATCTAACCTGATACACATCTTGTTTAACAGGGTGATCAATGTTTCCATGTGGCTAATTTGTCTTTTGTTCTTCATTTGAATTATAAAAACACCTTCAACATGTCAACTGTCTCTGAGTCCATCACCTTCTTTAACAGACACGGCTTCAAAGAGGATCAAATGTTTGCTTGTTCCGATATGTCAGATGAGTTCTTATATCAGTTGTTATACACATCTTTAAACGTCTTGCTCCTGTTTCTCACATAACAATCCACAGACTGAATAAACACCATTACGGGGAGCTCATGCTGTTACCAGTACTGTAGTGGTCAGACTTCCAAAGCGCTACACGTCTCATGTATGGATCGTATCTTAAACGTCTCACCGAGCAGGCACCCTCGTCAACCTTCAGGAGACAGAAGCATCTGAAACTGCGGCATTACGTGGGGCAAAAAGTGAAAAGAGCGGCTGCTGGTGGTGACATCAGCAGCACCTCCTGGTGGCGGGGGCCTCCTCCACCTCGTTGCTGGACAGGGGGCTGCCGTTGGGTTCGGCGCCGTGGCCCCCGTACGTACTCTGCTCCATCCTCTTCATCACCAGCTCCAGCAGGGTGGTCACGGCCTGGTCCACCTCCACACCCGTCACCGCACTCGTCTCAAAGTAAGGGATGCTGAGGAGAAACAGTCCGGCGTGTGGAAGAAGCATGAGCTGGTGTTTAATGACGACATGTTTCTGATTGAAGAAATGTGTGTTTGTGTTTATTAGTGAGCACGTAACGGATGAAGTGCTCACGAATAAACATCAACACACAAGCTCAGCCACAAAACCTTTCTAGTATTGTTTGATTTGAATGTGTTTCAGGGACAAAGTACTTCATATTTCACAATCCAAAGATCCAGGAGATATAAAAGGGATGGAAACAGCTGACAAGCACCATCTGGTGGTTACCTGACTGTGCTATCTGCGTAGCTCTAAGGAAAGTGATCATCAATGTAAGAACCCTTGTTCTAAGTGCTTTGTGATTATGCTTCATGAAAAATATACATGATGTGCCTGCATAAGTCTTCCATCGATGCTTAAACACGTTCAGATTGGCCGTTGGTTTGTCTACCAGTGAGCACTTCAACCAAAAGCCTTTCTTATATGATTTAATGTGTCTCAGTGACCTACGGAGGGAAAACTGCAAAATAGTTCTGTCAGAAATCTGGGTCTCAGGGATGGAAACAGTCGACTAGCACCATCTTGTGGCAAACTGCTGACTTGTGCAAACTTATTTAGAGTTCAGTGACCCTTAAAGGGTAGAGAAGGCCATTTGAACATTTAATTAAACAGCACATCTACGTCCTCCTAAATCTGTCTGAAGAAACACGATTAACTCATAATGATCCTGTGAAAAACACAAGCTAAATGAGCTACATGAGAAGATTCAGTTATAGGTTGAAACTAACTAAATATACGCATCATTCGTCATTTAAATAACTTTTACTTAACCAGGTGAGCAACCTGGTTTAAAGAGAGAGCTGGACGGGAAGGCGACACTGCACAGAATCAGACACACAAACAAAAACAATACCAAGAAACAGGATGACGGCTCAAAGAAAATTATTAGTGGAACAGCATCTAATCAGCCAAATATTAATTTACTTTAAAGCTTACAATAGTCCTAAACTCCGTTTGTTAGACGGTAGATGAGAAATCAGGCACGATAAGTCGTCTGAATGTAAACAAGCGACCAAATTAAAGACAAAACTGGAAAAAGCAAGAAGCTGTTCATCCTGGACACAGTCTGTTGTGGTTTATTACTAACGCAGTGCATCTATGACTCAAACTCTTCAATAATATGTGTGAATATTCCTCAGGAAGGAAGCTATACATCTTCCTTTATGAAGTGTTGTTGTATCATGAAATAACATGACTGTGAGTGGAAACCCAGACAAAGTGTGTGTGTGACGTCTGACCCGTATCTGTCTGCCAGATCTCTGGCCTGGCGGGCATGAACGTCCCTCACGTCTCGGAGGTCGGCCTTGGTGCCCACCAGCACCACATCCGGGCTGTCGCAGTACGCGTTGGCCTGCAGCTGACCTGAACCACACAGAGGAAGTCATTTACACCCGTGGCACGCATGAGACAACCTGAAACTCAGGATTAGTCAAGGCTGACGCAGCATGAGAAAAAACATATTGATCTGAGGAGACGACACGCACTCATCCAGTTCCTGACGTTGAGGAAGCTTTGCTGATTGGTCAAGTCGAACATCAACAGGAAGCCCATGGCATCTCGGAAGAAAGCTGTAGTGAGGCTGCGGAACCTGAAAACACGCAGAGGTTTAGTGTGAAACATCTCAGCAGCCACTGGAGCATTTTGTAGAGCCGTTCATGGTCCCCAGAGGCTGAGTCCTCCTGCCTTTGCTGATCTAATAACTTGGTCCTCATGAGGCTGGCTGGTGGTTCTCAGCAGTCAGATGTCTCAACAACTGCTGGGATGCATCTACATAAAAAGATGTTTGTAGACGTGGAGCCTCACAGAGTTTCTAGAATCACTGATTCAAAGTGTTCATACAGAACACAAACAGACAGAAGAGATCCCCTGTAGGGAAGTTTCCACCTCGTCAACACACTCACATGAGGCTGTTTTATGTTGAAGGATGTGTCATGAGCAAAACAAGCTGTCAGTGCCATGTCTGAAGGTTTCTTCTTGATGCTGCTGTGAACTGAAAACAGTCTAAAAGTATGGATTCACTTCCAGAACAAATTGATCCCAACCTCCCCTAAGATTTCAGAAGAAGCAACGGAGTCACCTCGAAGCTACTTGAGGGCAGGAAGGGATTAGTCATGGAAAAGCAGCTTCTCTGCAATAGTACAGGTTATTCCTTCAAGTTTAAAACTAGACAACAAAATCATATTGTGTCTTCAAATTGTGGATAAATGCAAACCTCCTTGTATGAGGAGTGGCTATTAACAACCAGACCGGGCAGATGAAAGCCAAACCACAGCGTGCATGTGTGACCAGGGGGTCTACGCTGACCAATGGGAGAGCACAGGATCAATACTAATCATCAGAATATTAATCCTAACGATAACTTCTGTTAAAAGGGTTACAAAGTGCTTCACAAGGACAGAAAAATAAAAGAGGAAAGTCACAAGATGATCAAGAAGATTAAAAACACAGATACAAACATAATCCACATAACTGGCATAAACAGCCCGAGAAGCTTTGAAACTGAACTACATGAAGCTGATGGGAATGAGCTGCAGCACCAGTCTCATTATTTAATAGCCACACCTTCCTCTTGTGTCTACACACAGCTGGAGGGTCGTACCGGCACGTCTGCAGAATCAGTGTCTTCAAATTATTCTGAGGGCGTCATTTGTAGGAAAAAGTCTGAATCTAAGCTTTGCTTCATTTCAGGTTTTGAGCTGTTGGTGGTAAACGAGTGCTGAGATGGCACCAGCAGGAGCTGAAGAACTGCTCACGCTGCAGCATCAAGGCTTCAAATGAATGTCGAACATGTTGTGAACATAAGGCCACACTGACCTCTCTTGTCCGGCTGTGTCCCAGAGCTGAAGGTGGACTCTGAAGTTCTTCTCAGTCGCCCCATCAGCACCTGTCCCCGTGTACACCTGGGCCGAACCACAGAGCTGAATGAAGCATCCACAAAGCTCACAACGCTCCACCGCTGAACTGAACTGAGCATATTTCTGGTCTGGTAGGAGATCTGATGTAGCTGATCTGCTTTATTAATCACTCTCATAACGCTGTCTGCTGATCACGTGTGTTTTACAGAAATCTTATCTCACCATCTGGCTCCACTTTCACCAGGATCACTAGTTATCCAGTGAACCAGCTGAGGGTTTTTGTGCTTTTGCTCGTTATTGTAATGAAGAACGACAAGACGTACATTTTTAAAATGTAATTATCTCTAAATTTACTGTTATTAATTAGATCAGTAAGAATGTCCCATTGAGGTGGACATTTAGCTCACTAGGCCCATACGAACCATGAAAACACACCCAGGGGAGGCGACTGCATTCATTTTTCTATTCAGTCTTTAGTTTGCGATCATCCAGAGAGTGGACGTTATATCAGAGCTGCTTCAGGAAGTCACTACCGCGGCTCATTCTCCTGCCAACAGTGATGACGGCATTAAAACGGCCGTTCAGCCTCCAGGATTAAATAATGACATTAAAGAGGAGTCGATATGACTTCTCCTCTCAAAGGAAGACTTCTGTTCAGAAGTTGCTGCCCAGTTTGTTCTACATCTCATCTGCAAAGAGACTGTTTGCAATGTTAGAAACATTTCACTGTGTCAGAACAGGACAGAACACACACCGGTTCTGACACAACTCAGGCTTTTAAATGTGAAATTCTGGTCATTACTCACTACTCTCTTTTCTCTGAAGTCGATGCCCACTGTGGTGGTGAACTTGCGGTTGAACTTGTTGTCGGTGTACCTGTAGAGGAAGGTGGTCTTCCCCACGCCCGAGTCTCCCAGCGCCAGCAGCTTGATCAGATAGTCGTAGTCCCAGTCAGCCATCGTGCAGCCGAGTGCTGAACCTGCCACAGAGGTGAACTCACAGTACAATGCTCTGCTGGTTCTCCTGGACCACGCACCAAACCATGAGATACACGTGGGTTAAGCTAAATAAACACTGGAGTTAACTGGAACATAAATTCTTCCACCTAAGCTGCAGTGCTCAGTGTGAGGCTGCCGGACCATCACACAGGCTTAGTGGGACGTCATAACTCCAGACTCATTAGGCGCTGATCAGGGCAGGACTAGCACATGACTGGAGCTGGTTTCCACATGAGCAGTCAAATGCCTCTCCAAAGTTCTCTCTGACTTCACTAAGAAAAAAAACAACAGCCTGTTTGGCAGACAGAAGTCCTTTTATTGGCTTGGAGGGCTACGGGCAGACAGTTGGACTGCATGACGCAGCTCAGGCCACTGCAGCGCTTCGGTTACACGTCGCAGGGCCCAATAAAGACAGCATGGAGAATCCCATTTGGCTATGCAAGTTGGTAGAAAGAGAACATCTATTTATTACTTTCTAAAAAGTCCACTTGTTGGCAAAATTTTAGGGTGTGAATCATGAGACGGTGCCGTGAAATCCGGGTTATTTCCCTTCATGCATAACCAGTGGTTCTCTTTGCTAACAGCAGAGTGAGAATAAGCAGTGAACAGAAGCCTCCAACCTGCAGGAACCTGTATCTAACACATTTCAAGATTAACACACAAACAGTATTTTGGTGATTTCCTAGAAACACCCTCAGCACACACGACAGAACCCTTCAGCACCTTACCAGTCTATCGGCGGGAAGCACCGGCGTCCATTCACAAGTCGCTCCAGTCGTCCTTAATGGATAAAACAAACACTATCATGATGCGATGGCACAGTGTATAGCCTGAACCTTTCCCCCCGTCTCACATGTGATCCAGGGAGGAGTCTCAGGCATGCAGGAATCAAGCGGGGCTGAGCTTACGGACCTTGTGTTTTCTGCTGTTTCTCATGAGGAGGAGAAAAAAAAAGCCCCTTTGAAAACTGGATTGTGTCCCGTCGACAAATAATGTGTGCATGTGTTGATTTCAGTGGAAACTGTTTAACCGGCTGCACTCCTGGAGGCTCAGCACAGTAATCCTGCTCCACTAAACAACCAAGCTCACTGAATTCAAACCATTATACTTTGGATCCAATAAGACATGACCTGGCCAGCAGGTGGATCAGTGGTTAGCACCGTGGCCTCACAGCTAGAAGGTCGCCGGTTGGCGTCCCGGTGAGGACACCCGGGATCTTCCTGCGTGGAGTCTCCATGTTCTCCCCGTGCAGCGTGGGTTCTCTCCGGGTTCTCCGGCTTCCTCCCACAGTCCAGAAACATGTTGAGGTTAATTGGTGATTGTAAATTGTCCGTAGGTGTGAATGTGAGTGTGCTTGGTTGTCTGTCTCTAAGTGTAGCCCTGTGATAGACTGGTTACCTGTCCAGGTGAACCTGCCTTCACCCTGAGTCAGCTGGGATAGGCTCCGCCCCCCATGACCCTGGTGAGGATGAAGGTGTAGAGATGATGGATGGATGATATTTCTATAATATATACATCCAATTTTAGTGCTTAAATCGTTTAGTTTACCACTAATGTAATGATTAATTAAAACTCCATATTTGCATAGCTGCCTTTTTATTTATTTTTAATGTACGTTCCTGACACTAAATCACATGAAGAGCTTTTGTACAGTTAAAGGTCTCATTTATTTTGTTCTAATAACATCAGTACAGCAGTAAGAAATAAAAGCTTTCCTTCACAGAACCAACACAGCGTCATGAATCCTCCTCAGCAGAGCTAGCTTGTGAACATGCTCTTTAACTGGGTTTGAAGTACTTGAACAAGCTGTTTGCCTGCCGGCCTCTCCCTGCAGCCTTTCTGTCTTTGCTCGTCGAGCTTCTCCCTGGTTTCATGGACGAGGGAATCTTTAGCATCGGCTTCTGCTGCTTCCACTCGGACATCAGCTCCCTTTGAACGTCCGGCGGAAGCTCAGAAAACACCTCAGGGTCCACATTTCCCGGGAACTCGCAGTCAGAAGACAGAGGGAAGGACGGCCTCTTTTTCTCTGTGATGTGTTCTTCTGGAATGGCACTTGTGCCTGGAGGCTGCTGGGGATTCACGGTGGTCGCTGTGTCAGATGAATCCGATCTGGTGGCAGTCTTTTGAACATCTAAGTCTGTAAACGGCTGTGGAGACTTGTTTATTGGTATGTGGGGGGCGTCAGCGACTGATGAGCTGGTAGAAGTGCTGGAGAGGGAGTCGGAGTAAGCCGGGGATAACAGCTCCTTCTGGATGTCCTCTGGAAGGAGCTTGAACACCTCCGGGTCAACACTGGGTGGCGGCCGATGTGTGGTAGTGTGGCGTGTTCCCGCGGTGCTGCAGGACGCTGTCTGAGTCTCTTCCACAGCAACAACGGAGCTTTGTTTCCATCTGAACCCATGTAATGCTGCCTTAGAGCGAGAGGAGATGCTTGTGGTGGGTTGAGTATTCATGCTGTGTGTGCTGACCTGATGGTCCAGGCGGGGACCGGCGCCACGCTGAGAGGAATCATCCTATTGGACGAGAGAAGAGGAGGAGCGTGAATGATTTACAGGAGAGGAAACTTCTGCATCACGCAGCAGCACAGTGTGAAAGAATAGGACTCTCTGCACATTACGCGACATTTAACACCCTTTAATAACCTACAGTGACATGCATTACGTGTGTTGGGGTCACGCTGCCGTAAGTAGAGCCACTATGCCCTAAAATGATTTCATTTATTGGATTTTTCAGTGATTCTCAGCAGTGTTTTACAGTGACTCCAGATAAATGACAAAAACTAGACAAGTGGATCAGCCACATAAAAACAGTCTAAACTAAAATCAGAACACGGCCACGACCAGACAATAAGAGCTCCACTGCGGATCAGTTCATCGACAGGAAAATAACATCAGACATTTTTCTATCAAAATGTGAAAACATGCAAAGAACACGTGAAGACTTGCTGCTTCTCTTTGTCTTGTCTAAAAGTGAACTCAGTGTTTGTGGGTTTAGCTTCGTTATATGGAAAAAGGAAGACAAAGAGCCACTGGATTTGTTTTTTTTATATGTTTTGACACTTTTCCATGTATTTATTTTCATTAGTATATTGGTTCTTGCTGAACACTGAGCTCAAAATTAAATGTAAAAACCCTTTGGTAACTTCTGCTGGAATTTTAGGTAAATGTAGGATTTTAAAAGCATTCTGTGAAACTCAGTTTAGTTCTTTTAAAAACTTTTCAAGACCTGCAAACAGGACGATAAATGACCATTCTGTGACCAGTATTAAGGAGACACATCACCTGGCTCTGTGATGAGCAGGTCTGCGTTCTTCTGGGAGATGTGCTCTGGGAGAAGAACGACGTGATGGAGCCCTTCCCGCTGACAGCAGCCCCTCTGGACTGCAGGTTACTGAAGCACACGTTGATGAGCGTGAGATGAAATGCAGCGCTGCGGTCCACCATCTTGTGAAAGAGCTTCTTGGCCAACACGACCAGCTGGACCACAGCGTCCTCGCTGCTGCCTGCAGAGACATTACAGATGGTTTACAGACAGCTGAGGACAACAGGGTCTGATGAGGATCCTAACTGGGCACAGACGTGTTCGCTGCCTTCATGGAGACCAAACATCGATCAAAGAGGTTGACACGTTGATTTTGGAAGAAATTTAAAAAAAAAACATTCTCGACACTCTTGTTTCAGCAAATTCAAGGACTTGACTTCATCACAGTTCAGCAGTAATGGTTGACAGGACTAAACATTAGAGAGGCTGATCTGGATGTGACTGAGGCTTTTGTCCTGAATCAAAGCTAGAAGTCAAGGTGAACTTATTGATTTTAATTCAGTCACCGAATAAACTCAACCATCAGCGAGTCAGACAAGAGTCTACTCAGAGAATCCAGAGAAACACCAGCAGCGTTCACAAGTTAGTCCACAACCACGTCTTTCTTTGTCTGTTCACAGGAAACACTGAGTCTATGTGAGCTTTTTCTCTGAAACTGGAAAAAGTGAGCTGAAAGATGCTGCAGACCTCCACGAAGCCTTTACACATGTCCATTTAGAGCAGCTCGAACAGGCTTCCTGTCTGAGTTAAAGCTTGACGTTAGCAGACACTGTAATGACACTGATAACCAGCAGATTACGGTGATCAGTGACGCTACAGGCCGCATAAACTAATACACGTTAGACAACTGTACAGTGAATGGAAGCCCTGATAAATCCTCCTCACGTGAGCTCCTGCAGGAGGAACACAGTGTGCATGGCCCTACCAGAGGTGATCTTCTGTCCAACGTGGTTCGGGATCGGGCACTGCCTGCTCTCCCGACTGAACCACTTGTTGGTCGCTGAGTATCTGCGGATTGTGAGTCTGAAGGTTTGAGGCTGCCTGCCATCTTTGTGCATCCTAGTTTTCAAACAAAGAGACTCAGTTACATTCAGAAGTCGTGTCTTAAAGATGACACGAACTGGTTCAGTGATGAGGTGGTAAACTGGTTCTGACCGTTCCACCAGACTGCTCAGGAGCTGTTGAATCTTCTCCAAAGCTTCTTGAGGTGAAGTCATTTTTTTGAAGGAGTCTTCATCACTGAGAGACTGAGACATAAAGAGGACACGAATGCCTTGAATAATATCCGATAAACATGTTCTGCAGAAAGGCGGCACTTTAACGGCACCGGGGCTGACTGGTGGCCCACAGAGACAGATTAAAGACAGACGCTGGCATCATCCATCATCTCTACACCGTAATCCTCACTAGGGTCATGGGGGGCGGAGCCTATCCCAGCTGACTCAGGGTGAAGGCAGGTTCACCTGGACAGGTAACCAGTCTATCACAGGGCTACACTTAGAGACAGACAACCAAGCACACTCACATTCACACCTACGGACAATTTACAATCACCAATTAACCTCAGCATGTTTCTGGACTGTGGGAGGAAGCCGGAGAACCCGGAGAGAACCCACGCTGCACGGGGAGAACATGGAGACTCCACGCAGGAAGATCCCGGGTGTCCTCACCGGGACGCCAACCGGCGACCTTCTAGCTGTGAGGCCACGGTGCTAACCACTGAGACACCTGCAGCCATAGGCATCATTTAATCTAACTGTATATGGTCTCTAAGCACAAAACCTCTCAGTACCAGAAAGGCATAAACTGTCTGAAGACACCAACACTCAGCAGCAACAGCTGTTTGCTTTGTCATAAGAGATGTGACACAGTTCTCCTTCTGCCATCTGGAGGACACCGCTGAGTCACCAAGTGCTCCGAACTGTTTTCACTGAGAGACAAACAAAATGCTTTTTAGATTTCAGCGTTTTTATTAAAAAGGATGTGAACATAAATGGATTAATGTATGAAACTAGCTGCGTTCAAAGAACTCACGGTGACAATACTACGATGCAACATGTAAATATTCGTGGTTTAGTGTCTGTCCCAGACGTTCATTCTGCAAAACTCACTGATTACCTGATCCTGAGTAAACGCTCTCTCGTCCTGCCTGTACCGCTGTGTGTACAGCACCATGACCATAAACTGGATCTGATTACCATCCATTCTCATGAGCCGTACCAGTGAACCAGAAGTTACTCTCTAAAGTATATTGTTGACAGATTCTCTGATTTAAAAGACAAAAACCCTCAAAACCTACTTTTATTTTCCATCATTCACCAGGTTTAAAATGTGCATTTCAACTGTAAAGGCTCAAAATTCACCATCAAAGCCCCAGAAACATAAAGCAGCAGATATGTGACTACATATGTGACTTAGTGACTCCCGTCTTCTGTTTGGCAAAACGCAACAACAAAACATTCCTTCAGTTTAAGTAGACAGTAAACATGTCAGAGACGTCCCGGCCTACCTGAGGGGCCCCCGTACAGGTGACAGGAGAGTCATCAACACCGAGGGCCAGATTCTTCAAGCGCTGAGCAGTGGAAGCTCCGAACTCTCCCACCAAGTCACTCAGTGCAAAGAGCTGCAGGTCTTTAACGCTGACGAGTCCCAAAGCTTGAAGCCTCTTAGCAGTCTGGTGACCCACTCCTACGAACACAGGACGAGACAACAGAGTTCATTATCAGGGATACTTGACCCAAGGGACACACACCAAGAACACTTCAAATTATTTTAGTTGGAAAAACATTCAGGCAATACGGCACACAGATATGAATGCCAGCAAAACAGCCACCCGCTGAAATCCGGCTTCACATCTGATCCTTTGTATTAGAAACACAACAGCATGTATTTCTCTGAATGGAGCCACCTCCTCGTGCTGAACTCCCTCTACAGCACTGATACCTGGTACTTTGCGCAGACTGCTGAGGCAGCCCATGACGTCACTGACGTTCTCTGGCAGCAGAGTGGTTTGCTGGTTGGGTTTGAAGGTGCCCGAAACCAGTTTAGCCAGCAGCTTGTTTGTGGCAATGCCAGCGCAGCCAGTCAGGCCCAGTTTGCTGTGGATAGTTTCTCTTAGCTCTGCTGCAATGTGTGAACCTAAAGCCAACCTCGGGTGGTCACCGGTTAGAACATCTGCACCTGAGCAGGAAAAGGAGAACAGAAAGTCAAGAAGATCTATCGGACTTTTCGTGTAGTGAGAAACTGAGAGTTCTATGCAAATGTCTCAGAGGTTTTAGCTTCTCGGCTTGTTTCACAACTCGTGTCCCAGTTTCCCAGAGCCAGATGCACAGCACCAGAGGCATAACCGTGACTTACTGGTGTGGTTGTAGACGTGTCCTTCAAATGAAAACCCGTCAGACTCGCCGGTCTGCGCAAGCTTTTTTTCTACCATCTCTGTGACGTCCATGAAGTTTTCATCAAATCCGAGCCTTTCTACCAGCGGACAGTAGGACGCCAGCAGCTCTGGGTGGTGGACAGGAGAAGACAAAGCAAGGTGGGAGAGTTCACTAAAGGAAACATCACGTTCATGAAGCTTTTCAGCACGGTGCGGTCTGTGTGTTGTAATGTGGCTGGAATCGAGGAAAGCAAAGGCAACAGTCAGAGTGAGATTTTTACACCGGAGCCGAGTCAAAATGCAAAATGCCTTGTTTTTGCCTTGAATTATGACTCTTGAGGTTGTTGTAAGTGGGCCAGCGATTATCTTCTGAGAGATCTGACATCAAAATCAGACATTATAAAGGTTTGCCTTCATGTTTAAAGGTAGCGTGATTAGGTTCATCTTGTCTACTCTGAATTTAGGTATAAGGGTTCTTTTTTTATCAGACAATGAGGATTTTTTAGATGAGAGCCTTTTTCACCTTTGATGTGTTTCGACTGTCCTCCAGTCTTCCTCAGAAACGTCACTGACGTGTCTTCATCAGCTGCTGGTTTCCTGGAGGCGTGACCCACCTGGCCAGCTGTCAGATCTGCCCGACAGGCCACGCCTCCTGCCGCCCGGTGGTCTCTGCAGGAGAGTGTCCCATGTGTGGGACAGCATGATGCGTCCTCATCACGGTTCATGGTGTCTTTGGCTCGCCTCCTGATTTCTATGGCCTCCTTGATCCAGCGTTCACACTGACTGACAGACTGCCAGGTCACGCCTCCAGGAAACCAGCAGCTGATGAAGACACGTCACCACAGACGTCAGTGACGTTTCTAAGGAAGACTGAAGTGACAGTCGAAACACGTCAAAGGTGAAAAAAGCTCCCATCTAAAAAACACTCATTGTCTGATGAAAAAAGAACGCTTATCCCGATGTTTTCAGGTGGTGCAATTATTCTCTGCTACTTCGTTTCCTTGCTGTGGGCTGAAAAATGACACGTCCAGGTCCCACCGAACAGCAAACAGCCAATAAACAGATTAATGGGGTGAACCTTCTGTAAACACTTCGGCAGCTGCAGCTGCATTTGCAGAGCCCAGTGTGACGTGCTGCTCCTTCTCACCTGTCACCTTGTAGGACATCTCTCTGTAGTGTGTCAGGTCTTCCCCTCTGACCAGCACCAGCTCTGGACATCTCTCCTGAGCGTCGGTCACATACATGAGCTTGGTGACGCCCTGCTGCCTGGCCACGTAGTTACAGGTGACGATGATGTTTTTCTGCTGAATACCTGGTGAAACCAGATCCAGTTCTGGGCTTTATGGAAGCATGTCAACTGTAATTCTTGTGCCTCAAAGGCTGCTGTGTGGCTAGTCAGTTTACCTAGAGGGACTTGTCTCAGAGCTGGGTTCCTGATCATCTCCACCTGAGCATAGAAGCAGTCCAGGTCAAAGTGCACAACGACTCTGTGGGTCCTCCTGATGTCCGGCCCTGAACACACACATCATACTAACTGTAAGCGCATTATGTGCATGTGGAAAAGTCAAACGAAAGTCGAAAGCGGCTGTCAGGTTCCTAAACCAGCTTAAAGTTGTCACACTTTACCGGAAGCAGCAGCAGCAGAGGGGGCGGGTGCTGCTGGATCCACGAAGCTGCTTTTCCACTCGGTTTCATCCTCGTCCAGCTCGTCCTCGCTGTTGTTCATCTCTAACCAAACTGACAGTTTTATGCCAGACGGCGGTGACGCTGCTGTTGTTGATACATGCGGGTTTCACTCTGACGGTCGGTGCTGGTGTCTGTTTAGTTTTGTGCAGCAGCGCCATCTGCCGACGCGGAGGGGAAACTGCAACACAGCGGCCAACCTCACTAAACTATTTTCTTGCTCTAAGCATAGACTCTGTGTCTCTACGTTTGTTAAATGCACCCCGAAATCAATCTGATCCAAACTAAGTTAGATTTTATGCAATGAAAACGTATTATTCGGCATTATTTTAAGGAATTAGCTTTTTAACGGGCGTCTCGCGACCGGCCTTACAGTATATAAACGCGGCTGACGTCAGCCGAGGTTCAGCCGGAGCACCTGCCGTTAATTAAACCTGCTTGAGCACCGTGAAAACGGCGTCTTCGCTAATGTTTCCCTCCTTGAGTCTTTTTGCCGACATACACTGTCCTCTGGCACAGCGCGGGCAGTGTGAGCGGCCTCACTGTTTATACAAACACGTCGCGGAAGCGCGGGACGGCGCCTCGTCGACGTTGGTGTTCGCAGGTCAGTTAGCAGCTATGCTAGCTGTAGCCGCTAGCCGCTAGCTGTAGCCGCTAGCTACATCAGGTGAACGTTAACGTTAGCCTCTGATTCAGCAGTGAAAAGAAAAGGGACACTTTGTAGTGACAAAAAACGTGTTCGAAATATTTGCTAAACCAACGTATATGTAAAAACGAACAAAGAAAAAACGTAAATATTAACATTTAATTTTGATATGTGAAAACTTGATTCTATTTGTGAAAATACGGAAAACAAACACATTGAGTTTTGGTTGCTTATTTAAAAACCTGGACGACATTAGATTAGGTTTGCATTAACAACCACTACGTATAGACCGGTCACGGCTGAACTGATGCACAGGCTTGAGATTATTTAACTCCTATTTCTGATATGTGAAACCTTTATTGTGAAAGGGCTGAACGGGAGACATTTTTGTAGTTTTAGGTCTAGATGTAGAAACCGCTGGACTCGTATCGGTCGGATCTGGGCCAGAAGAATCTTCAACACAGGTTCTGGTGTGTGAAGCTGTCGTTCAGTCTGGAAGGTGGACTAATGGGAAGTTTTCTGCTCTTTTTGGTGTGTGGACCAATTTAAATCTGGTCTAGAGCTAAATTCACCAGACTTGGACTCGTTGGTCTCAGACAGGCTAGACACATGTTCTGATCAGTGAAACCTTTAGTTTATTAGTGCAAATGGGAAAAGGGGAGATGTTGGTTTATTTTCTTGACCACATTAGCTGCTGAAGCTAACTTAGCTTAGCTTGTGGTTGGAAGCAGCGAAGCAGCTGATCGGGGAACATTTCAACATAAAACTGTTCCCAGCTGATCGCTTAGAATAAGAAAATGTTTTTTTTGTCATACCAGATTTCTGAACTATGCTTGTTTAAATATACAAATGAGGTAAATTTTTCAATAAACTCAAGAGCAGAAATTTATGCTGTGAATAAAAGCAGCTTCAAAACTTTTTTATTTTCTTTGGTGTTCTTTGAATATTAGGGTCAAAGTCTTTCACAGATTGAATTTTGGAGGTGTCTTTATAGCACTACATGAATCTGAAAATGCTGTCAGAAATGCCACTGCTTTAGGAATTAAATACTTTAAGTGAGGAATGATCTAGGCCTTCAGGATACAGATGGGAATAAGACAAAGGTTTGGGCTATGCAAGTCCGATTTAAAGTGAAGATTTGTGGCTGAGAGAAAGAGGAAAACATGATTAGTTTTAGTTAAAAACATGTCTGTGCAACTCGGTTATCACAGGAAAAAGCATACTGTGCCTTCTGAGTACAGTGGATCAGATGTGCAGGTTAGAATGTCTGCTGAAGTGGCAGAACTGATTAGAAACTGAAGAGTAAATATTAAATGGCTAAATTAGGCACATTTGTGGATCCACTGCTGTCAGAGCAGGTGAGGAAAATGGTTTTATAAATGTTTTAATCTTTATATGTTCACATGTTTTCATTTCAGTCTTAAAAGGGGCAGTTTGTGGTTTTGTGGTGTTCAGAAAGTAAAGACACACAAAAAGCACAAGTCGTTCATTCAAATGTTTAAAAACCAAATTAATTTAGGAAAACATATTTGTATGTAGTCTAATCCCACCCAGTATTATCTTCCGCCATGTCAGTATTACTAATCAGTCTGATTTCGTTTCCATGTTGAACAGGGGTCCAGAATGGCTCCTCATCCACTGCCTGTGGAGCCCCAGTGAGGGACGAGACCGGAGACTGCCTCCATGAACTGGAGCGGATCAACAAGCAGATTGAGACTGTAAGACATGAGGTAGAGCAGGAGCAAAGGCGACTGTCGCGCTACCAGACTGTACAGGCAGATGGCAGAAACCTGCAGGTGCAGACTGCAGGTACAGATGTAGACAGAGGTCCTAACGGACCACCTTCATGCACAGACTTCACTAAAACACATGTAGAAGCAAGGAAGTACGTGGTTGACAACTCAAAACCAAGAACAGATTTGGAGTATGACCCTCTGTCCAACTTCTCTGCGGACTTGCGGACGTACAGCTCTTCAGGTAAGGATCAGAAAAACCAAAAAGGTTTGAAAAAGGCAAGAACTGCTGTGTCTTGTGACCAGATGGAACCAACCACATATCAGACTCTGCTTTCAAGATCTCCAGAGCTACATGATGACTCTAATGAAGACAGTGTCCTGATTATCGATGTTCCCCCATCGCCCGTTGAAAAGAGAGGTCAGACTCAGAAAGCTGCTGCCTGTGTAGCTGGCAGATCCTCCCAGGCTGCCGTAGGGGAAGGGATGGAGGCTCACACGCTACCTATTTTACCTGATACTTCTTTAAAGGTGACATCTTCATCGGCTTCAAGAGCTGATGCAAATAAAGTTCATAATTACTGTGATGTTGGGAACAACTCAGATCGACCTACTTTTAATGATAAAGGATGTGAAAAAACACCCGTTGGTGGAAGTGCAGTTGACTTAACTGGATGTTTAGAAGACCTTGATAGTGAATGTCAAAAAATTACTGGTTTTCAATCTACTGAATTACTAGAGAAAACCCACCAAGCTGCCACCTCAGACCGACAAGATCTCAGCTGGAACAACCTTGTGTGTGAGCTGCCCAACAGTGCTGAGAAACTGCAGCCACCAGAGAACTCCCTGTTTTATAGAGCTCCAGCTGGTAAGTCGTGGTGCATGCAACACACCAAGGAAGCTCAGGCAACAGCGCAGCAAGCTCCGAGCAGGGCTCATAGCCAGCTGCCTCCTGAGCAACCATCAGTGGTGACAGGCAGCCAGAGAACGTCAGGGCAGATGCAGAGTGAAGCTGCCCTCAACAATATGTCATCTGTTGGGTACGAGGACCAAGCAGAGTCACCTTCAGGTAGCCGTACACGTGTGACTGACGGAGGTGAATCTTCATATGAACCTACTGAGCAGCGTTTGGTGGGAGCAGGCGGTGACGAGGTGATAATAATCAGCTCTGACGATGAGGCAGGAGCGCTCAACTATTCAGAAATGGAGCTTTCAGACAGTGACCCGATGGAGGAGTGCTACAGGATCTTCATGGAGGCGAACAATGAGGACAGAGGAACTGAACATCAGCCTGATGTGTCTGTAAGTTTGCTGTGGACACTTAAGATGCAAAATGAATGAACTTTTCACCTGTCGAGATGTTTTCTCAGTTATCTTGTCATTTGCAGTCTGGAGCTGTGGATGTAGCGAAGCAGGAAGAAAACGTCGCGCCCCAAACGTTACGAGGAAAGAAGAGAGTGGCTCATGAAGCCAAACCTACGGAGGTACATGGCGTCGCTAATCATCTCCTGATGTTGCATCGTCAGGACCACTGCCGGATAATTTCAGGTGTTTCTTTTTCTCCATTCAGCAGCCGGTTGCTAAGAGTAGACCTCAGCCACAGGTTCTGGTTCCTCTCCGTGGGCCAGCAGCTTCAGGATTTGGCTCCCGGCCCTCCATCACTTCCAAGATCCAGCAAGTGCAGCAGAGAGCCTCCATGCTGAGTGCTTCAGTTAGAGGCGGTCAGGCTTTTGTTTCCTCCACATGTCAGAAGAAGCCAGAGACCCTGAGTGCACCTTCTGCTCCAGCGCCTGAAAACCTGCAGCCTGCTCCTGTGCAGAACGGTCAGCATGTGTTGGCAGCAGTGGATTTGTTTGGCTTGTTGTTTGTTTTGGAAATACGATGAGTAAAATGTCGATTAGTGTCCAAATGAAACAGTAAAACAAAATGTGGACAAATCGGTGCCCTTAATTGGCTCATAACGAAGTGAAAAGTTGATTATTTTTTGTCGTTTACTTTGACATGACAGTTCTTGTGATCTGTTTGTGTCTTTGCCTGAATGCATTATATCTGCATGTACATTTCTGTCTCATCCTGCAGGTTACTTGAACTACGTACCTCTGGGAACAGCTGTTATTGAAGTGGGCAACAACTTGCACTTGATCCTCCCGGAGGGGGCCTTCCCTCTGCCCGTTACTTCCAGTCCCAGCCCACCTACCACGGTGTTAACTCCAGTCAGCCGAGTGCATCCAAGCGCTTTCACAGTGAAACAAACATACCATCCACCTGCTGCTACCCCTGTGCAGAGGTACCACTCAACAGCACCTGTGCTCATTCCTGCTCCGGCACGTAAACCTTCATTGACCCCTGCTTTTGCATCAGCATCTTTACATTTGAGTCCAGCGACCCATACAGTTCCTCAGGCTTCCGTCCAGGCTGTGACTAAGGTAAGAAGTAAAACTACGCTCGGGTCTGGTATGAAATGCTTAATACATGAATATCATCGTGAATTTGCTCTTTCAGCCGACACCTGCTAAACGTAAACTGAAACAACAGTGTGAGGCCACCAAAGACAAAGTGCCCCATGATGTCCGCCAGCGCTACGTCAACATGTTCACAGAGGAGTTCCTCAAAACAGCAGCCAGTGTTAAGGACGCCTTTGAAAAGGTGAGTACATGCACCTAAATGTCCTCCTCACTTCTGTCTGCACACTCACTCTTTTCCTTGATGGCTTTGTTGGTAGGCTCTCGCTGAGGAGAGGACTGTGTACAACCGCAGTGTGAACAAACTCAAATATCTCAGCATTGCCGTGAATGCCCTGAAGAAGCTGAAGAACCAAAGCGCTGCTGCTGCTGCTAAAAGTGAGTCGCTGGAAACTCTGCAAGGAGGCCGTGCTGGTGTTTTTGGAGGATGTGAACATCGCTGATGCAGCACAAACAGATGAATTCATTTTGTTCATACTTTGCCCATTTCAGATGAAAAGAAAGTCACCAGCCAGATACTGAAAGGCAACATACCACTGACCCTACAGAAGCTTCAAGCACACGGTGAGATCTCGAACTTCTTTCAGTACATTATCGTTTCACTGGAATATTGAACAGCTTCTCAGTACTTGTTTTTCCAGCAGATGATTTGGCATTCTATGAGAGCCTGAAGGATTATTTATTGACTGATGAGAAGCTGATTGAGAGCAACTGTCCCGTCCAGCATCCAGAGAGACGTGGCTGTGCTGTTCTATTTACTGACAATAAGAGAGTGCACGCAGACCGTAAGTGATCACATCTCACTGCTGCTTTCCTTTTGTGTCACTAGAGGGCACCCTTAACCTCCGTACTTGGAGTGAGGGTTTGTGTGTGAGCTTGCTTCTCTCCAGTGATGAACCTGTTTGTTTTCCTGGTCAAAGCCCTGAAGAGGATCTGCTGTCGATGTGGGGCGACGTACTCCGTGAGCCCGACAGGCAAACACATTCGCAAGGAGGAGTGCAACTATCATTATGGGAAAGCAGTGACCAAAAGAGGTCAGCAGCCAGGGCTTATCTTAATTATCAATTCATCTGTCTGATACTTTAATGATTAACTGATTGTTTGGTATATAAAATAATAAATTGGTCTCTTTTGATCTGTTGGCCTTCTGCTATAACTCGTATACTGACTTGAGAACACATAGTAATCCTGAGTGGGGCCTCCTGTTCCTTTGGAAGCAGCCTCCAGATCTAAGATGCATGATAAACATTGTGATGGGAGTGTTGTGTACCTGCTGCAGTGCCCGGGGGAGTGGAGACCCGCTACAGCTGCTGTGAGGGCGTCATGGGAACCCCCGGATGTCACACGTTTAAGGTAGAAAACACTGAGTTGTTGGACACGTTGCCTGAACTTCTTTCAGGTGTCCCAGGTGATGTTCTGATTGTTTTTGTTTTGTCTTGACCAGCTGCATGTCCATGATTCTCTCAGCCTGGACGGGTTTGTGTCCACTGGCTCCAGACGTCCCCCAGACACCAGCTGTCCTGGGGTCTACTCTTTGGACTGTGAAATGGTGATGCTGCTTCTTCCCTTTGAGCACCAGAATCTAACCAGATCTAACCAAAATGCAGCTTAGCAATGAAACCATAATCAGCAACACATCCTCCCCTTTTCTCTTGTAGAAACAGTTGCTGTATTACTTGTGTGTACATATACACTGAACTGATTGGGTCATTAGGATTACTGCTAATACTGTGTGAACATCCCACGTGCACACGTGCCTGACGACAAAACAAACAAAATGAATGAGTGTCTGTGTGGATGGACACTGAAGACAAAGCGTGTCGTGTTCATGTCTGTCTTCATAGTGCTACACCATTCACGGTTTGGAGCTATCCAGAGTGACGGTGGTCAACTCCAGTCTGCAAGTCGTCTATGACACCTTTGTCAGACCTGATAACGAGGTCATCGACTACAACACCAGGTAATGTCATTATATTTGTGGCTCTTTGCTTTCCTCATCTTTTCTTTAGCAGGAAACTTTCTCTGTGCACCTACTTGAACTCGACCTTCCCCCTACTGGCAGTAAGATCCTGATAAGAACACTGGGAAGAGCTAAAGGCTGACCACTTGTACTGTATCTTAACGAGGACTTAGAGTAGCAGTAAAAATACCAAGTTCAGGGAGATGGGCGTGCCACTAAGTGAAAGGTACAGGTTGAGTAAAAGTAAGGAAATGATGCTACTGCTGTGTTGATCAGTATGTTTTTAATCAGTCAACAGGTCTATTGACACTTGACTTGTCTAGGTTTTCAGGCATCAGTGAGGAGGATGTGAAGGGTACCCACACCTCCCTCAGAGAGGTCCAAGAGACCTTGCTGAGCTTCATCAGTGCTGACACCGTTCTGATTGGACACGGCCTGGAAACAGACCTCTGTTTACTGAAGGTGACACTAAAAACTTGACAGCAATGACTTTACTGCGTTTACAATTGTCATATCTTACACAGTGATTACAGAAGTCCTAGATTGTTCTGAAACCAGAATGAGTGCGTTCACATGAAACAGGAGGTTTGTCAGATGAAGCCACTCACATTACAGCAGAGTGCTCTGCAAGGTTTTAACACCATTTCCTCAGCAAGATGTTAATGTACGTTTGATTTTACAAGCAGTCCTTCATAATTCAGGTTGTCTGTTCATGAGAATGCTGTTTTCTGTTTAGCTCCCTTTTATATATTTTATTTATTTTTAGCAATAGACTAATAACTGAGTGAACAGTGTGGTGACCAAGCAATTCAAACCTGTGATAAAAAGGCACAAACTCTGTAGCTTCACTCCACTAAAACAGAAAAAACACCATAGAGGTGAGTGATTACCACTTACTAGTAGTCAGCTATTGGCTAAGAACTGATTGAAGTTTGCAGTCCTCACAGTTCCTAACGCTACAAGAGAAAACTATCACCTTGAATTACTTGTGAACAGTTTGATCATTTATGATGAAACATGCAGAAGGCCTCATGCAATGACTAAAGACTAACTGTGGTCACATTTTGGAGCTACATGTTACTCATGTTTGTATGGAGGCTTTGCATGAAATCCAATAATATTCCTGTGGTGCTCCACCAGGACTCGTAGTGAACGCTCTGTTCAGACAGTACGCTAGACGTTAAGGTTGTTTATGGCCTGTGAGGGATTTCACATTCCTTCAAAGGCTTTCATCAGTCATGGGAGCTTCAGATATTGTCCTACTGCCTCCTTAACTGTAGCTGCTCCATGGGACAGTGGTGGACACGTCGATGGTCTTCCCCCACCGTCTGGGTCCCCCTCACAAGCTGACCCTCAACAACCTCACAGCTGAACACCTCAGGAGGATCATCCAAGAGATTGGTGGGTAGGATGGGTATAGCTGAGGTGTTAATGCTACCACACCTGCTGGTGCTTCTCAGTGTGCTACTTTAACAGCACTCTGATCTATTTGGTAAGTGAAAAAGCAGGACACTAAGAACACAATCAACACTGGTGTATTTTCACTTTTTTCCTGTTTCCTATCGTTCACTCAGTAACAAATGAATGCGGGACTCTTTGGACAGCATTTCTCCTGTGCAGCTTTATTAGTTCTTCTGCCAATGCCAAGATTCAGTCAGAAGAGTGTGAAAATATACCAAGGCACTTTGTCTGCTGCGTCTAGATCAGTAAATCATCCTGCTGAGAACTAGAGAACTACAGTTTAGATGATGCTCTGTTTCACACTGAATTTATGAACACACCCAGAGCTGAAAGATAAGCTGTTGTTCCTTTTAGGCCTGAACAGGTGTTGATATCAGCTGGTCATCTCGGTGTGTGGACTTCACACAATAAGAGGTGGACGACCAGCCAGGCATCTGGGAGCTGTGCATTTCTCTGTCTGTTCTGATGACTGTTTAAATAGATGGATTGAGTTTCTGCTCTGACACGTAGAAGACGTGTTGCGCCTGTGGTACGGGGTATTGCTCGGCATTCTGCTGAAATGTGATCATGCTTTTCTCTCAACCACCAAGAGCATGGTGTCTGCATGCTGCTGCAGCTTGTGACATAAAGAGGTGGCTCCACCCATTATACACAAACCTGGAAATCCCAGAATATGAATCACAGACAAACTAGAAACCATGTTGGTAAGATAAAATATGCAAGATAACATTGACATGCAATAATGAATAGGAAATGTGTTTTCCTCCAGTATCACCAGAACGACGACCTCAAGCTTGTGGTTCTGTCGGGCTGTAGTGATCCATCGCTGTGTGTGTTTTCATTGTTTCACTGTCGTCCACCCGACTTAAATCTAAATAAAATCCAAATGAACATGTGTTTGAAATGGAATGGAGGTTTTATTCCGGAGACTGCTGACTGTCACGTTGTTTGCATACATGACATTAATGCATTGCTGTCTTTGCTAGTTTGTGGCCACGACACTGCAGAAGACGCTGCTGCCTGCATGGAGCTGATGCTGTGGAAGGTCAAAGAAGATGGAAAACTGAAGAAATGACAAATAAAGCCAAACAATCTCCACACTGTTTAGACATAGAGAGACAGACACGGTTATGAATATCTGTTTGTTCTTAGACATGGAAAGCTATTTAGTTTTTGGTTTAATCACATCACTTGATTTATGTTCAGACTTTTTACTTTTTTTTTGTCTACTGTATGTAAAATTTTGATTTGCAGCTCATTTGTCCATGTCTGTAGAAATATTTGTGATGGCACGACAGTGTGCTGACAAAACCTGACATGAGTGTTCAAGTAAATGCACAGAATGCAATCCCTTTGTGGTTTTTTTGCTTCTCTAATTCACACCAGCCAATGACCACTCGCCTACCTGCCAGGCATTTGGGAACTGTGCAATTATGCAAATCTGCACACCTGTCAGCAATCGGAGTAATTGCAGGTAATCTAAAGCAGCGAACCAACAAAGCGTATTTAAAAGCAAGTTTTAAGGTGGCAGCAACTTTTCAAATCCAGGTTCTGTTACAAGCATGAGACCAACATACAATCAGTTTGTTCACACATCAGTTCTTTGTCCATCACGCTCGTGTTCAGTCCATCACTCAGCCTTTCTCTTTGTCGCGTCCTTCCTGCCACAGCACCTCCGGAAGCAGAAGCTGCAGGTCTTGACGAAGAGGAATATTAGGAGCAGATCTATGGCGAGGAAGAAGGCTATGACATCCAGGCTGTGGTACTGGTACCAGGTGAGCTCGTGGGCCTGGACCCTCAAATGCTTTGCCCCTTTGTGTCTCATGGTGAACTCAATCCAGAATACTGACTCGTCCAGAGCACTCATGGGTCTGTCGTGGTGGATCCTGGACAGTCGCAGAGCATTTTCCTTGTACCTGTGAATGTATATAGATATATGCTGATTATCATTCTGTATTTTTCACTTTCCTCCTTCAAGTTTCTTTAACTTACAACGATTGGGGATAAAAGAGGGATATTTATTTCATGGTTTTGTATTTTACAACTTCAATTTCCTGCAGATAAGCAGGTATATGAGGGGTTAAAGCCATCCAGTGGTTTCCCACCTTACTGTACCTTTGTTAGTCTGTCTGTGGTTGTGATTGAATTTAAGTTTGTTGTTTAATACATTGAAAAGGTAGTTGTACATTGAACGTTGTACAATGAAATGCCCATGCCCCGGCTCTCTCTCAGCTCTTAAAACTATATAAATATGAAGGAAATAACAGTAATAAAGAGGACATCCAAAACAAGAGTAAATGTGAGTATCTAAAAGACTCACTGTGAACATATGAGCGGACTACTGTTTAGTGATCTCACAGCTTGGTGATAAGTCTGTTTTAAGGTGACTGGTCAGAACATTTGAGTTGTTTTCCGAGGGCAGGAATGAGAAGAGACCGTGTGCTGAATAACACTTAGTGGCTCGCTCTGCAATGGGACGTCTGAATGTGGGCCGGTGGTCTTCCTATGACTTGTGAAGCAGATCTGACCTCCAGTAAGAATGCTCTCTGCTTATCTCAACAGAAACTGACACCAGTTCAGTTTCATCAAGGTATCGCAGAAAATCTGCAGGACACCAGTGATGGTTAGAGACCAGGAGGGCAGATCTGAGATCTGATGTCTCAGAATCTAAACTGATTCAGGTCCAAAAGAGGACATTGTTGATGCAGACCGGTGGCTGAACAGTTTGTAGTCTTGGTACCATATAGATTGGTCCCTGTGCTTCCTGTAGGCGTCCTAATTGTTGCCTATCAGCCAAGTCATCGTGGTGTTGTGAGTTTCACAGTATGCTTATTGTGATATTTGGAGCACAGTCATGTGAACAGACGGTGGAGTGACTGACTGTCATGTCAGTTACTGCATTGGACCTCGGCTCCTTCAGGGCATGTCATCAATCTGGCACATGTGTTATTAATATGAGCTCTCCACAAAAGCCAAAGGAAACAATGCTTCAGTACCTTTAATGCCCGAAGAATGCAGATACGTAGGAGAACTTACGATTTGTCGTTGATGACAGTGTTGATGGCATCTCTAAGGTCCTCGCTCTTCATGAAGTTCAAGTCCACGGTAACTGCAGCTCCTTTAGCCTTCATGTGGACCAAGTTGTCCGGCTGGTCACCAAACAGGGGGATGCCCACCATAGGAACACCGTGGTAGATGGCCTCGTAAATCCCATTTGTGCCACCATGAGTGATGAAAGCTCTGGTTTTAGGGTGACCTGAGAAGTGGCAGAAATCATGAAACATGCATTATTCCTTTTCAAACAGAGATGACCGAATGAGTGCTGCAGAAACAGATTTGCATGTTCACACAAATACTTGATCTGTGCATTAAGGTAACAGAAGAAATCACCTGAAGCAGGAAAAGGGTCGACACATCATGCAACATTCAATCAAGATAATGTTTTTGCTGTCTCAGCAACAGATTGTATTTTATTCACATTTTAAAAGCTGAAGCAACAGGTAGTATTTTACATTCCATTAATACACAAAGTAAATGAAGGAAATGTCCACAGCCTCAACAAAAGTAATGTGATGCGGATGGCATTAAGACAAGCTCCAGGTACACTTCATAGCAGCCAACAAAACGTTCTCGTTAAATCAGCAGCACCGCTGTCAAAGTTGTGATTGTGTGAACATTGAGTCTTTTCCTGATGCTATAAAACGGTTCAGTAGCATTTCTTCATGTCCCTCCATCCATACAATGTGGTGGATACCAGACGTTACTCACCCAGCAGGTCGTTCTGAGGGATCCAGTCATATAGCTTGGTGTTGGGGCCCAGAGTCTTTGGTTTTTCTCCACTGTATCTCCACAGCACCTGTGGACAACAAGTGGAAAACTTCTTTAGAATGACACAGTGATGATTCTGTCGTCATATGCGCTATAGCTTTGGATTAAATAATCATTTATGATCACTTAATTTGATTGACTTATGGTAATAGAACCATGGGGCTCCTCTGACCAACCTACAAAACAAGGAGGGCCATGAAAAGATCAAACTACTTCCAGCTGTAACCTTCTTCATCTCAGTCAGCAGTAATGTGTAGCGGTCTGCAGTTCATTGACTGGAACGTTCAAAGCACTGGGATGAGTCGTGCACTGACTACAGCAGATGATACTCCATCTGTAGAACTGGTTGTTACGGTGGTTGAAGGTGGTTGCAGTGGGCACAGAGTCCTGACCTTTTGTGGGATCTGAGCGAGGCCTGAGGCGATCATGTTTGCCTTCTCTGTGGTGATGTTCTTGATCATGGATCCTAAAGTGAAGACCACGATGCCAGCGTCTCCAGAACTCTGCACAAATTCTTCCATTTTCTGCAAGAAGAATAATGACATCCCATCAGCCGGTCAAGCAGCTGGTTGTCTTCACTGTTGAAATCAGGAAAACTGTCCAACTGCATTGCACTGAAAGGTTAATAGGCTTGTAATGGTGGAGACAGGCCTACCTTTGGTAAAGGTTTAGCAGGTCTGCAGTGGATCCCACCAACATATTTGAAGTTGGGGAGGAAAGGACGAGGGAAATCAAAATCCCAGTAGGTTCGCACTAACCAGATGTCTGCTCTACCCATCATCTCACAGGCACTGGTGGGTGTTCCTGTTGCAGTGCACAAGAGACGGATCATAAAGTATCACCAGTACTTCAGAATATACAGCAAATGTTCTCATAACATGTGATTCAACATAAATCACTGCAGTTAATCCAAAGTAGATTGATCATCATCAGACTTAATGCAGCAGTGTTTTCATGCAGTGGTTTTTGTTCAGCTGCTCACCTTTGACTTCAGAGTAATATTTATCTGCTTGTTTCCATAGGACATGTTCAGTCACGACGTCCTGCAGAGCGATGAAGAGAACGTTCCACAGTCTCTCTAAGAAGTTCATCCTGTCTGTAAGTTTGCTCATAGCGGCGGGCACAAAGGAAGGTGGAGCAGGGACCTGACCACACAGCCTCTCCCAGTTGTTGGCTGCTGAAATTTGGAAGGAGTAGACAAGGGGGATGCCCAAAATGTCTGCTACCAAGTCACTGCCGGGGTAAATGGGGTCAGACAGGAGGAGGTCATAATTTCCCTCCTTCAGCTTCTTCATGAGGGTTTCTGATTTCAGCACACCGTCTGATACCTTTAAAATAAACTGCATCTGATCCCTCATTAACTCTGCTACTCGAATGTAAATCTGCAGGTAGCTCATATGATCCATCTCGTACATGGAGAATTCAAGGAAGTTGTTCATCCTTTCCTCCGTGTCCTTGGATGAAACATCGACGTTGAAGGGTTCGTAGCGAAAACGTGAGGGTTCACTGGTGTTCATGAATAAGGATGAGCTTGGGACCAGGACAGTCACCTGGTGTCCTCTGTCGATCAGCGTGTTCAGCACAGGCTTCATGTTAATCCAGTGGCTGGCTTCAGTGTACCACACCAAAATGTTCCCTCCATTTACGCTCCATGTCACACAAAGTACCAGCAGGACACGAGCAGAGAGACGCAGGTCCATGGTGGCTGTTGGTCGGCTGGAAATCCAGCTGTGGCCTTTGAAAGGTTCTCCTTGATCAGTAATGATTAACCACATAAAGCTGACCTATGGTCCCCTTTGTGCTGCACGAGATAACAGGCAGCAGGTAAAAGGTATTGTCTACAAAGGTGACAGCATTACAAAGCAAAATAACCTCTTACCTGTACAAGGTTCTTTTTTACCAGCAACCTGTGGTGTCAGGATGCTAAGGTGGTCTCTAAACACTGCTCACTGCACTTGGAGTACACTTGACATGCTATCAGCACGTGAAATGTGCAACCAGGGGCAAGAATGCATTGGTTCATGTCTACAACCATGAAAACTCCTACAGAGCAGTCTCCTTCCCCCACAGTAACAGCTCTGATCACCGAGCTGACAACAAGCCACACACCCCACACTACCAGACCGACTCACTTGCTTTCATGCACACTTAGAAGCAAACCACAACAAGGCCCAGGTGCCCTCACCATCACCTAGCGAGCAGGCCGTCCAGGTGACAGCAACCCAGGTTGAGAGTCTTCGCCAGCATCAACCCACGGCAGTGGGGACGGACAGCGTCCCTGGAAGTGTTGTGAGGGAGTGTGCTGTGCAGTAGACAGAAGTCTTTGCAGACATTTTCACCCAGAGAGCTGTGCCCACCTGACTCAAGAGTGCCATCATTCTCATGCCAAAACAGTGGAACCCAGCCTGCCTGAATGACTTCCGCTCCGTGGCCCTTACACCCACAGTCATGAAATGTTTCAAGCAGCTTGTTTTTTTCAACACTTCCAAGGGCCGCCTCTCAGCAAACTTAGACCCAGTACAGTTTGCATACAGAACCAATCGCTCGGCAGAGGACGCCATCTCCACTGTACTCCATCTCACTCTGTCACCTGGAGGAGATAAACACCCACGCCAGGCTCCTTTTCATCGACTTCAGCTCTGCATTTAATACCAAATCCAGAGCAGCTGGTGGAAAAGCAGAAGCTGCTGGGGTGCACTCTGGCACCTGCAGTTGGATCTTCAACTTCCTTTTGCAGCGTCAGCAGAGTCAGGGTGGGCGCTCTCACTTCACAAACAATCTGAGTGAGCACAGATCTCCTTCAGGATGTGTCTTCAGCCCCCTGCTGTTCCGCCTGCTTGTCCGTGACTGCACTGCCAGATTCAACGCTAATCACATGATATAGAGTTTGCTGATGACATGACGAAGGTGTGTCTGATCAGCATTGATGATGAAACTGTGTACAGGAACGAGGTTGAGCAATTAAGTGGAACCGGCAAGCTCCACTGCACACCACTGCCCATCAGCAGCACCACTGTGGAGAGAGTCAGCATCAAGTTCCTGGAGGTCCACCTAGTGGACGACCTGACCTTCACTACCAGCATCACAGCCATAGTTAAAAAGGCCCACCAGTGTCTCCATCCCCTACGGTGCCTGAAGAAGGCAGGCCACCTTGCCCCCCATCTTACCACCTTCTACAGAGGCACTGTTTAAACCGTCATGTCTTATGGCCTCACTTCCTGGTTCGGCAGCTGCAAGGAGGTGGAGAAACATCAGCTGAGCAGGACTGTAAAGAGCCAGCAAGATAATTGGAACCCCTCTCTCCTCCCTGCTGTAGATCTGCAACCAACGCTGTGTACGCAGGGCCAGCAGCATCATAAGGGACCCTCATCACCCCTCCATCGCTCTGCTTTGCCTCCTGCCATCAGGGCAAAGGTAGCCTTCATGCCACATCCAGCAGGATGCTGAACATTTTCTTCCCACAGGCAGTCAGAACTAGTAATGGACTGGGTCCTCTCCCCCCGGTATGCCTCCCCACACCCCACCCTTGACCTCTCCTATAAATATGCACACACACCAATTTAAATATCCCCCCTAACTGACAGTTACAAGCTGTACTATGCTATCTGAACGGACTGGAATGTCAGTTCTTTCAGCACTTTAGATGCTGCGATGCCTCTGGCTGAATCTGTATTTACTGCATCACCAGCTGCTGCTACCAGACTGAACTGCACTAGCACTTTGGACATACTGTGCTGCTACGTGAGCCCCTTATAGCACTTTAACATACTGGGCTCCTTCCCCCCAATTGTGTCTGAATGGTTTTATGTTTTTTGTTTTTGAGAAAATCACTTAATCTGCTGCCCTCACTCTGCGTTTGCGTACATCGCTATGCAGTGGCCTAAACACTCTCCCATGAAGAACCCGAAACAGGAGCTGACTTCAGGTGTTTTTAATGGAAGCCGTGTAAAACTGTGCAAAAAGAAATACAAAATACCTGTCAGTATACAACTACTGTACAAATAACCTAAAACATAATGCACCATGCATGTCAGCACCGATACAAACACCATAAATCAAATAAGTCTAAACAGACATTCCCAGAATTAGTTTTCTGTTCTAACAGTTAAATGATACAAACAAATAATAGAAATATCCCCTACAATCAAATAAACTTAAATAAACTTACAGATTATGCTTCAACAGAGCACCATCAAACAGATGCATCCAGGTTGCAGGGTAGCGTCAACATTCAAAACTGATAACTTTATTGAACACCTGAGCTATACACAAACAAGGCCAGTAGGTGGGACTTCACTCACTTAACCACATACTGAGTCACACTCTAGGAGAAGCAGAACACTCCCCGCCTGGCATCAATGAGATGTCAAACCAACCAGAACTCAACACATAAAATAGACGAGTGTGAAGTATGAAAGATACATTAATACAGTCACTTATGAGTGTCCTCAGACACGAGGAAGACGACTTCTGAAACAGGTCGTAGGAACAGCCCCACTCTACCATCTCTGATGCCCTTCACTTCAGTCTTCCTTACTTTCCCATCATCACTAGGAAAAGTGTCCGTAACTAGTCCAATAGGCCAACAGTTCCTCTTGGTCTGCTTGTCTCGCAGAAGGACAACATCTCCTGCCTGAATGTTCGGCCTTTCGCTCTTCCATATCCGGCGTCCTTGCAGATTGCTGATGTATTCTCTTTTCCAACGTTCCCAGAAGGTGTTTGCCAGACTCTGGACCTGTCGCCACTGACGTCTAAAGAGGTCTTTTTCATCAAACTGACCTGGGGGTAAAGGGGGTACACCTATCTTCTGGGTTAGCAGAGTTGCTGGAGTGAGAATGAGCGGGTGATCTGAGTCTGTTGAGACTGCAGTTACAGGCCTCGTATTCACTATTGCTGTGACCTCTGCCAAGAATGTTGGGAGAACTTCATGAGTGAGTTTCGCAGTTCCATGTTTGAGGAGCATAGCATCCAGAATGCGTCGAGTGACCCTGATCATATGCTCTCAACTCCCACCCATATGTGAGGCGTGTGGCCGGTTGAACTGCCAGGTACATTCCCTTTCTTGCAGGAAGGTCTCAACCTGTTTGTTGTTTACTCCTGAAGAGCCAATTTGAAGTTCTTTACAAGCTCCCGTGAAGTGAGTTCCACAATCTGACCTAAACTGTTTCACTGGGCCTCTGATTTCAAAAAATCACCTCAGGGCATTAATGAAGCAGGAGGTATCCATAGCCTCTATTACTTCAATGTGTATTGCCCGCAAGCTCATACACGTGAAAATGACTGCCCATCGCTTGCTGTTTGCATGACCTCCTCTGGTCTTTCGCGATGTTACGAACCAAGGACCAAACACATCCAGCCCTACATATGTAAAGGGGGGATCTGTACTCAGGCGATCAACAGGCAGGTCTGCCATCTTCTGCTCTTCTTGCTTGCCACGTAGCTTGCGACAAGTCACACAATTGAAGATTCTACTACTGATAGATCGTTTCCCTCCAACTAACCAAAATCCAGCCGCTCTAGTAGCGCCTTCTGTGATGTGCCGACCTTGGTGGTGAACTTTCTCGTGAAAGTGTCTGATCAGAAATGTAGCAATATGTAGCTTGCCAGGAACAAGTATTGGATGGATTTCGTCAGACGGCAGTCCTGATTTTGAGAGACGTCCTCCAACTCTGAGGAGGCCATGTGAGTCCATGAAAGGACAAAGTTTGCTAAGCGGGCTTAGCCTAGGAACAGACTTTCCATTCTCAATGCAGTTCATCTCTTCACTGTACACTTCTCTTTGCACATTGAGAATAACCCTCCCCTTGGCATGGTCAAGCTGTTCTTTAGTTAGTGGTCACATACAAGACAGCCTAGACAGGTGCTGTCTTTTGCCGTGTTTGGTGAACGAGTGCACAATGTGTGAGAGCCTAGCCACAGCTCTTAAGAGAGATGTCCAACTAGAGAAGCGCTCAAAGCGTGCAGTGCCAAGCTTCTCCAGTGAAAGTTTAGTAGCACATGTAGGGACTGCAGGTCGCACCTCCACGTCTGTTCCAGGACTGATGAGATCAAAGGTTTCTGCAGACAGACAACTCTCTGATGAGTCAGTGAGGAAAGCAGGTCCAGTTAACCAAGAGGAGAGTGCAAGTTGATTGGCTGGAATGGCTCTCTTAGCAATTATCAGCTGGGTTTTGATCAGTGGGAATGTACTTCCATTGGTTCACATGCGTGGAGCGCTAATGCGTTGGACTCGATTACGTACATAGATGTAGAATCGCCTTGACTCGTTGGATATGTAGCCGAGCACCATTTTGCTATCGGAGAAGAATTGAACATCATCAACTATGGCGTCCAGCTCCTCTAGAATGGCCTCTGCCATCTCTACTGCTAGCACTGCTGCACAAAGCTCGAGTTTTGGAACCGTGAGGTCAGGCTTTGGAGCCACTTTCGCTTTGCCAAAAATGAAGCCTACTTCCTTTAGCAATAGCCTTAATGGATGCATCGCAGAACACATACATCTCTTTCTTCTGAGCCATTGAGAATGGCAGTGATGTACACATCCTAGAAATCTTCAGTCCTTGAAGGTCTTGTAGCGAATTCTTCCATTGGAGCCATTCTCCTTGTTTTTCCTTTGGAAGTGGAGCATCCCATTCACAGGCTTCAGTGGTGAGTTCTCTCAGAATGAAACGGCATTGAATGCTAACTGGTGCAGCAAATCCGAGAGGGTCGAACAAGCTGTGATGGTTGACAATACACCACGTTGTGTGAAGGGCTTTTCACTGGCTGCTACACGGAAGGTAAAAGTGTCTGTAGCCAAATCCCAACCAAGACCTAGACTGCATTGCATAGGGGGAGAATCTTGACCAATGTCTAGGTCTCGCAGGCCTTTGGCAAGATCTTCTTCTGGAAAGGCTCTCATAACCTCAGGGCTGTTGGCCGCAATTTTATGGAGTCTGAGGTTGGACTGGGCCAACATGTCCTGCGCTCTTTTCAGCACA